TCATGTCTTTCACACTCAGACATGCACAAACAAATGTTTCGGCTGCAGGAAATGCATCAGATTTAGACAATAACACTTAAATGGTGAGGTGGGGATTCAGATTCAAAGACCACATACTTGCGATCCTCCAGCCGGCTGTCTAAAATACTTTATTGATTTTACCTGAGAAAAGAGGGTTGATTTGACTCAATGATGTTGTCGATCATTGCAGTTACTGATCCCACATCCCACTATATCTGCAGCCTTTGTTTAGTTATGAGCTGCAGACTACAAATAAAGATGATATGTACGAGAATGTTGTAGAAAACAATTAACAATAATAGTAGACACATCCATGCACACATCTGTAGCTCTGATAATCTAATACTGATGTTGAGATTGCGGTACCCATGAACACTTCCATAAAGAGATACGATAGATGTGCACACTCTCTGAAATCTTGTGTGCAAATGATTGCTCCTCATTTCTCATGCATGAAGCCTCAGGGATGATAGTAGTGTGTCACTATCTGAGAGAGGAGGAGGAGGGAAGAAAAGATGGACGCGGAGAGGACAACGTGGAGAAAACGAGAGAGGCAGAAAGGAGGAGGAGGGGGGGATGATTTTGGGCAGCGAATGAACAGCCACATTAGAAAGCATGTGATTCCTGCCATGGCAAAAGCTCACTGATAGAGTCAGAGAGAGAGAGAGAGAGAGGGAGAGAGAGAAGATCTCAGTGCTGGTTAGTCTGTTGTCGCCTGCAGAAGCAACAGCACCGAAAGAGGTTACGTTACACATCCATCCTTCTCACTGAGACACATTAAACACAATAAACAAGGACTAAGACACAAAGACAGCAGAGAAAGGGGAACAAAAGCATGTCCTCTCTCTCGAACCAGCAGCCGGCTCCTCCGTTCTCCGAGTACAGTGAGCTTTGTAAAGTCCCGTCCGCGTCTCCTCCGGGTTGGGACTGGAAACACGGAGAGCTCGGGGCGCCGGCGCGTCTCGGAGGTGGTCATCGGGCCGCGGGAATGACGGATGAGGACAAGCTGTGCTTCTACGAGTCTCCTTCTGAGCTCAACGTCCCCGGACGAGGAGGCGTTCCAGCAAGCATGTCATTCGGCAGCACCGGAGACAGTCCGGATAGCCCGTCGTCCTCGTCGGCTGCGTCTCCTGGAAAATTTGTGGCTTCGTTGCAATGCATGACAGACCAAAACAGCAGAACGATCCTTTTGGATTCACCCGCGGGTCGTGAAGCGTTTCCGTCGCCACTTGAACCCTTGAAACCGGCTCTGGAGCCTCCAAACTATTGTGTGATCGGCGTGGTCAACGACAGCTACCTCGCGAGCAGAGATGAGTTGATGAAAGCTGAGGAAAGCGAGGAAGAAGGAGACCTTGAACCTTGTATAATGGGAAGAGCCGAACAACAGAGGAAGGCGATGAGACGAGCCATGTCTGAGTGTTCGCATCTCTCCGTGCCGGCCAGCCTCGAGCTCCCGGATAAATACCCCGGAGGAGGCGTTCTCGACGAGTTGCCGTCTCCCATCGGAGGACCTCGTCGTTCTCACGCTATGGGGATGAAACGCTCCCTCACCGTATCCGATGACCAACCCCCGACTCCTCCACCGACTCTATCGGCTGGAGCCACACGCAATGACCTACGAAACAACAGCGAACTGCATTTTCCCTCATTCCCCGTTCGCAAAGACCAAAGCAGCTTTCCCCGCTCGCCTCTCGAGGACCTGTTGGAGGGACCGTTCATTGACAAGGATCAAGGAGTAATTCTACCCGTGCCGGTGACAACACGTGGCCTTAATGGGACTTGCAACAACGCTGGAGACAAAAGCGACACGTTTGCTGTGACTTTTGAGGGTAGGTGATGGCGAACCAGCAATCAGTTTGTAATCTGGCCTTGATTTTGGTACATAATTAGTATGATGACGGGATTTCATGTACCTCAAACAGTAGAGCATTGCACTAGCAACGCCAAGGTCATAGGTTCGATTCCCAGGGAAACCAATAATTAATCAAATGTAGTCAAGCATACCTTGAATGCAATGTAAACTGCTGTGGATAAAAGGATCATTTATGAAAGGTTTGAGGTGCATCGCATAATCATTCTTAGAAATGAAGAAACTGGAAAGCATGCAGTGTTTCAATGCAACTCTTCTGGTTATTTGTGAATAAGTTGAATTTATTGCATCCTATTGGTCTTTCTGTTTGTTAGCGGGCGCAGAAGTGCTGTAGGTGGTTCATATAGTGTCTCCGTTGTGTGTGTGTGTGCGGCACTATCACGCCACTACCGAACGCATGCTCATTACACGCTCCAGACGAGACAGTGTTAGTAATGTATGTCCTGATTTCCTAGAGTAAAACCTGCCTCTCAGCAAATTGGGGTCAGAAACTCTCCTCAACGTGCCACATTTGTAATGAGATACAGCTATCTTCTTCATTCAGTGCTTGCAATTAACATATTTTTGTTTTTTTTGCTTAACTAGTAATTCACAGTGAGGAGTGCGTAAATAGTCTAGTTCAATCCATCAGTTATTTGACTTCTCGCTGGTTGACTGGTAGTGTAAATGCATTGTACCGAATGTCTGAATGAAACATGTCTCCTTCCTCAAGGGGAAGCAAACAACGCCAGATAAAATCACTCGCAAAATGTGTTTGAGATCAATGGAAAAGCAAGCAACTGATGTCTTATTTTTCTGTTTGAGTTGCCATTATTAATGCAGGGTGTTTGTGGTTTCATGCACTAATTGGGGTCTGTATTGTATGGGCGTAACAGAAGGACAAATGCACCACAAATCCCACTTTATTTTATAATTTGAACATTTAATACAAAATTACCAGCTGTTTGCCAGAAAATTGGCAAAAAAAAAAGGTCTGAATCCATAATGAAAGTGACCAGGGAGTGCACAGAGAAATGTTGCATCATTTATGCAACATCCAAGTAAATCAGAAGCTTTGTGAAAAATACAGTATTTACTATTCCAGACGTTTCTATCCAGACAATATTTGATTTATTAGAAGATAGCCGGAAACTCTGAAGGTAATTTGCTCTATAATTGTATCCAGAGGTTGTGAAAACTGGTCCTATCTCTTTCTTTTTGTAGGCGTTTCACATTCATACACTGATTCTTCATCTTGAGCAGGTGTTGTTCCGCTCTCAGGCTTCACTGCATTCCTCGCTGACATGCTCTCAGCGTTTTCTCATCTGCTTTGATGTGTCATTGTGAAACTGGGGTTATTATAAATGCACCTGAGCCATGTGGAAATTGATCCTCTTAATGCAAGAGTTCTCAGTTTCTTACAAATATCTGAAATCCACCGCTCTGTGGTGACAGATTAACTTTAATGCAAGATGCAGTATTTCTGCATGCTGGGAAGCAGCTTACATGTGCGAAAGCAAAATGCTGCTGGAATATCAATTTCACGCTCACTACATTTTCAATGCAAAATGTGAAATAAATATGCAAATTAAAGTTTCTTTTTTTATTTGACTCAATGATGCTGTCAATCATTGCAACTGATCCCTCATCCCACTATATTTGCAGCCTTTGTTTAGTTATGAGCTTCAGAACACAAGGACATGTTGATTCTCAGAGACAAGCAGCCTTTTTCATGGATCTGTCTGTCGTTATATGTGACGTGACCCGAGAACCGCCTGTAAGATATATTACATGACACACTACTGGACATGTTACATCTCTCTGGCCTCATTACAGCTCTCAGCCTCATCCACTCATCTAGCTCTCATTTATCACACGGCTCTCTGGGATACTTGATTCTGATTGGTCAATGGCAGTTTTCGGAGGTCAAATGATTACATATTGATGTATTTTCCTACATAGCTGCTTATTTCATGTCTCATGCATCACTCCACACTCGTTCATCTCGCATAATAAAATAATTCACACTCAACTCAATGTTCCATTTATGTTCCAATGTTCAAAACTCCATTTATGAATGAATTCATAATTCATTTTTAAGTCATCGTGTAATAAGTATCATGACCCAAAAGTAACCTTAATGAAAAAGAAGTTGTCTATGTGTTCACAATTATACCTGAACTTCAGAATGGATTTTTTTCACTTTTCTTATTTCCATATTTGATAATATTTATTGAATTTATTTACTGCTGAATTTTCACACAAACATGATTTCTAGCTGTGGCTCAAATTCAGTACAAGATTTGTACTTAAAGGGGTCCTGGCATGGATTTATGTTTTTTAGTTAAAATATATTTTCACTCTTCATTCTGAGCCTCTGTCTGAAAAGACCCGTTTTTAAGGCGTAGTTCTTTTAAGGCTTTTCAGTAAACGGCCACAGTTATGATTGGCTTGCGTCATTGCATGTCAGTGTTTACATTATCCATATAATACTATAATTTACAGACAAAGCATTATGGAATCATTTACTCACGGTTTGTGATGCAGCTGCTGTCAGATTCAATACAGTCGCTGCTTTATCTTTCTTTAAACTCTCCGTTACTCTCTCTCTCGTTTACGAAACTATCACTGAACGCCAGTGGGCGGGGCCTATGGTGCGACGATGTGTAACTATATGTTGATGTCTCCCTCTAGAGGAAGCCATATGCAAATGTTTTTGCCCGTGTGATGTCACAGATCCCGCAATATCAAGCTGTTTTTGGAGCTTTTATTAAATGCTTTGTTTATATGAGACGGGCGATTTAAGCTGTGAAACTTGCAGGATGTTTTAATGGAACAAAGAGCTTTTATATGTTCATTTCAAAAGATCAAGCAAATTTGATTCCTCATGTCATGACCCATTAAATTAAATAAGCTTTCATTTTTAAGGTTTCTTGAGTTTCTTGATCCATTTTTCTGTCTAATCAAGTTCTTTCTCTACTATTTGAAGCCAGAAATGTTTCACAATGTCTTTTGTTTGACTTTCGTTTGGATTAAACAAGAAGAACAAATGACTTGTTTTGCTATGAATTGCTATATGCTTTATGTTTGTAGTTGAATCTTTAAATCTTTTCTCATGTTTTTCTACCAGGAAACTCTGATAAGAACAAGCCAGAGGTGAACGAAATGGACAATGTCCAGAAGTTTGATGACTTTGGTGTCTTCAGCAAGACAGACAAAGATCAGAAGAAGGAAACTGTGGAGGAGAAAGACAAAACTGGCCACACAGACAAACAGACAACCAAAGAAGAGAAAACAGATACTCAAGTGGACAAAAACAAAGACTTGGACAAAAACAAAGACTTGGACAAGTCAGAGAAAACGGGCAAAGATGAATCGGTTCCCAAAGTTGAGACGCCAGTGAAAGTTGAGAGCATTGACAAGTTGGAAAAAACTACTAAAGATGAGACTGAGAAGTTCGAGAAGACTACCGACAAAAAAGAGACCGCAGAAAAGATTGATTCTTCTCCAAAGATTGAGAAAGTGAAGGTGGATCCGGTGGAAAAGACTGAGATCAAGACAGACGTAGTGAAAACCGAAGAGAACAAATCAGACCAGAAAGTAGAGAAGGTTAAAGAAGAACATATGAAGGAGAAAGAAGAACATGTGAAGGAGAAAGAAGAACATGTGAAGGAGAAAGAAGAACATGTGAAGGAGAAAGAACAACAGAAGACAGAAAAGGACAAAGTAGAAAAGATTGAGCCAGCTGACAAGAAACCTGCCAAAGCTGAGAAGGACGAGAAAGCCAAAAAACCAGCAGCTAAACCCTCAGCGGCCAAGCCTGCGGTCACCAATGGACGAGACTTGACCAGTCCCGAGAAGAAGACCAAGGTTTGTGGAAACTTTCTGTTGTCACGTCATCCTCCACTGGCATTCCTGCTGTTGCTTCTGCTTATGAGTTTATGTTATTAAAGCTTATTAATGCCAAAACCAAACCCAAATTTATTTATCTCTCATGTAGGGTTGGTGATCATTATCTCATCCCTACATGACCAAGTTAAAGGAGTAGTTCACTTAACAATTAAAATTTCCTGATTATTTACTCTCCCCCACGTCATCCAAGATGTCCATGTCTTTCTTTCTTCAGTGGAAAAGAAATGAAGGTTTTTGAGGAAAACACTCCAGGTTTTCTCCATATAGTGTCTTCAATGGGGTCCAACGGGTCGAAGGTCCAGATGTGAGTTTCAGTGCAGCTTCAAAGTCTCGACACGATCCAGCCGAGGAATACGAGTCTGATCTAGACAAACCATCCGCCATTTTATAACAAAATAAACATTTATATACTTTTTAACCACAAATGCTCATCTTGCACTTGCTCTGTGATGGTCCACGCATTACGTAATCACATTGAAAGGTCAAGCGTGACGCAGGTGGAAGTACTGGCCTAGTGTTTACTAAGGGTGTATTCACACCTGCCTTGTTTGGTTCAATTGAATCGAACTCTAGTTCGTTTCCCCCCTTGGTGCGGACCTTTTGGGCAGGTGTGAATACAGCAATCGAACTCGGGTGCGGACCAAACAACCGAACCGAGACCCAGCTGAAGAGGTGGTCTCGGTACGCTTCCAAACGAACTCTGGTACGGCTCGTTTACGGTGTGAACATGAACCGACCCAATTGCAAGAAAGCACTGCGCCTTTGAGTTAACAGGCTTCCGTAGTCGGAGAGGACATTCACACACAGAGCGTTCTCTTTAGTCTAATCGCGCATAGATGCAAAAAAAGCTTTTGCAGTTCATATAATGTAACGATAGTTGCAATACAAGGATGATGCTGCGTTAAACTGGACAAACTTAAATCGCAAGCGTTAACATTGACAGCACTTTGTTAGCAGTATATACAATAAGAATCTCATTATTTGAATGTGTGAACATAGCCCCTCTCTATGAATCAAACCTTTATATCTTATCCGTCTTCTGCGCAGTTTCTTCATATTGCGTTTGTACAGAATAACACAAAATTAGTAAAAGAACAAATATTGCAGTACGAAATATCTCCATGCTGAGCCTTTTTTGCACTTCCTGATTTCCCTACTTGAGAATCCTTGTCCAATGAATGGACGACCTTAGCACACGTGTGGTTTTGTTTACAAATTTTGGTTCACTTGCAAAAAGAGCAGTGTGAAAGCGAACCGTACCAAAAAAAAAAAAAAAAAAAATTATTTGGTCCGGACCAAAGCAAGTGAACTATCGGACTTTCCTGGTGTGAATACACCCTAAGTGAACGTGCAAAGACTAAGTCAAACGCCATTTACAAAAAAAAAAGAAAGAAGGTAAAACAACAATTTTGAAGTTGGAGAAACTGAGATGGTGTTTTTCGCCCTACTCTACATTTTTCTTCTTACATTTTGAGCCGGAACACGCGTGACCTCTCAACGTGATTACGTAACGCGTCGCAGATCTAGTGCAAGACGAGCATTTGTGGTTAAAAAGTATTAAAATGTTAATTTCTTTATAAAATGGCGCCTGGCGGATGGTTTGTCTAGATCAGACTCTTATTCCTCGGCTGGATTGTGTCGAGACTTTGAAGCTGCACTGAAACTCACATCTGGACCTTCGACCCGTTGGACCCCATTGAAGACACTTTATGGAGAAACATCCTGGAGTGTTTTCCTCAAAAACCTTCATTTCTTTTCCACTCAAGAAAGAAACACATAAACATATTGGATGACTAGTAAATTATCAGATTTTTTTACATTCTGAAGTGAACTCAATGTTCCCTCTAAATGTCATGATGTAAACTTTGAACTTGTGCTTTTATCAGCCTGCTTTGCCTTTATCATCATCGCTGCCGTTATCATTTATCCTTATTCTATTTTTTGTTCATCATTTGCCGTCCATCTGTTGGGTTTGCTGTCCATCCATGCAGCCTGTCGCTGGGTCAATCAAACCCAGTTCTACCAAGCCCAGACCGAGCTCGACCTCCACCGCCCCCAAACGCCCGACCCCGACCTTGACCTCCAGCGCACCCGCTCCCCTCAGCAAAAGAGCCCCAGTGCCCAAAGCACCCGCCCCGGCCCCGGCCACCAAACGACCAGCTACGGCATCCACACGACCCTCCACCGCGACCAGCACCGCGGCCAGAGAGATCAAGCCCAAGGTGAGTCTCCAATCATGTGACCGAGACGACGTCCGAACGCACTTCCCGAGGTCAAAGCGGCTCAATCCGGCTCTCCTCTCTGCATGGATGATGTGTTTGTGTGGGCTGTCCATGCTAGACCATTTTTTAGTTTGCATTAAAATAAGTTTCTTCTTGCTCACCAAGGCTGCATTTATTTGATCAAAAATGCAGTAAAAAATGTGAAATATTATCAGAATCTAAAATAACTCTTTCTATGTGAAAATATAGTAACGTGTAATTTATTCCTGTGATCAAAGCTGAATTTTCAGCATCATTACTCCAGTCTTCAGTGTCACATGATCCTTCAGAAATCACTCTAATATGATGATTTGATGCTCAAAAAACATTTATGATTATTATCAATGTTGAAAGCTTTTGGTAGAAACAGTGATACATATTTTTTTAGGATTCTTTGATGATTAGAAAGTTCAAAAGAACAGCATTTAATTGAAATAGAATCTTTTGTAACATTATAAATGTCTCACTTTTGATCAATTAAATGCATCCTTGATGAATATATATATTTTTTTATCTTACTAACCCCAAAGTTTTGAACTGTTGGGTATGTCTACAAAGAAGTTTAAATGTAATAGAGCTTCTAAAGTCATAACAATAGCTGCTTGTGACAGTCTTTATAGAAAATCAGCCAGAAATTCCTCAGCTATATCTATGAAATAATTTTGATCTAGTATCCATGAACCTAAACACCTAAATAGTGTATTATGTCTGTAGATTATGTTTTTGAGTGTGACACACTCGGCCGTTGTTCTTGATAAATCTCTTTAAATATGAAGAATATTCAGTTCAAGTCTTCCCTCTAGTGGCCGTTTGTTAACATCACTACTTCCTTCCTAAAATCAGCATTTGACTAGTGAAATTAAAGGAATATTAATATGTACAATCATGGCACTAGAGTAACAATCAGCAAATGCAAAATCATTAATCGTCATGATTAAAACACCGTGTTGACATGATAATGTGAAAGTCCACCTGTAGTCAATCATTTTTTCCCCTTAAAATTCATCTTTGATCACCAAAATGATGTTTTTTCCTTGAAAAAAATTCTTCATGCTTTAAAAAATATCTTGAATGTAACTCGACACCCTCACCTCATTTAGTATGCGCGGTTCTATGAATATGCAAATGAGCCCCGCCTCCACTCACTCACTCAGCTCAGAGATCCACTGGTTGACGATCACACGTTGATCTGATTGGTTACAAGGTCGTTTGTGACGTCAGAAACACCAGCGATTTCAAACCGTGTTTTTGAGACTGTCTTTGGTTCACTGCAGTTTTAAGCAGAAAATACTCAGCAATGCTGTCGACTTATGAACTTACACATGGTGTGTCTTAAAGCGTATTAATAACACCACATAGACACATAAACAACATTAAAAGCTGGATTCTCACCACAGGGGAAATATGACTGAATCCACAATTAGAAAAAAAAAAAATTGTTGTTGCTGTTTTAAGTTGGTATTACTAGATTCTTAGAGGATGACAGCATCTGAAGCTGGCAGGTTATTTTTGGAGCAAAAATAGCTAAATATATTTGGATGAAACTTCTGTGGGTTCTTTACTACTTCCTGTACATCCACTGTGAGAAAGTATTACAGTGAAACTTGTACAGTATATAACCCTTCTGAAATGGACCTTTCCCTTCATAACATGTTTTTTTTCCTCCAACAGACGGCCACAGAGAAGCGCCCACTTGTGCCAAAAGCCACTGCCGCTCCGGCTCGACCCGCGACAGACAAACCTGCGCCCGCGACACGCACCGCGACCACGACACGCACCGTAGCCAGCGCTCCTGCAGCACGACGCCCGGGTTAGTCCAACCAGTCACGAGTCGCACGGGTGTATCTGTGGAAATAGGATTGTATGGGTCAAAATTAGCGATTATTCTTTTATGCCAAAAATCATTAGGATATTAAGGAAAGATCATGTTCCATGAAGATATTTTGTAAATTTCCTACTGTAAATATATAAAAACATATATTTTTGTGAGTGAATGCAGCAAAAGCGCGAACATAAATGCACAACTTTAAATGAGATTTTCTCAATGTTTATATTTTTTTGCACCTTCAGATTCCAGATTAACAATAGTTGTATCTCGGCCAAATATTGTCCTATTCTAACAAACCATACATCAATGGAAAGCTTATTTGTTCATATGAAGTATAAATCTTAATTTAAAAAAAATTGTCCCTTGTGACTGGTTTTGTGGTCCACATATGATGCATTTAAAGACGAGGCACTGCATTTTGTGCTGATTTAAGAAATGCTAGGAATATTCACACGATGCATTTCTATTTTTGTTATTAGCCGCAAAGACTGAGAGCAAACCAGGAGACGAAAAGAAACCAAGCACACTGAAAACTACAGGTACGGCAAACGCGTAACCACCCATAACATCATTTCTGATTATTATCAGTGTTTAAAAACGTTTTTGCTGCCTAATTTTTTTGTGGAAACTGATAAACTTCCCATTCAAAAGTTTGGGGAAATTAAGCATTTAAGAAGAAAATAATACTTTTATTCATCAAGGATACATTAAACTGATCAAAAGGGACAGCAAATGCATTTATGATGCTAAAAAAGATTAGATTTCAAATAAATACTTTTCTTTTGAACTTTCTAGTTATCAAAGAATCCTGAAACTAAAATGTATCACCATTTCCACAAAAACAAAAACTTTTTTCAACATTGATAATAATCATAAATGTTTCTTGAGCATCAAATCATCATATTAGAGTGATTTCTGAAGGATCATGTGACACTGAAGACTGGAGTAATGATGCTGAAAATTCAGCTTTGATCGCAGGAATAAATTACACTTTACTGTATATTCACATAAAAAACAGCTGTTTTACATTGGAATAATATTTCACATTTTTGCTGTATTTTTGATCAGATAAATGCAGCTGTGAGCAGAAGAGACTTTTATAGCAAGCTGTTGACTAGTAATGTATGTATATGTGTGGAAAAAATATGAATATTCTAGATAGTGGCTTAAAGCATTAGTGTAACTAGTAACAGGTAAAAGATGCAGAGATGCTACGCTGAAAACACACATTTAAAACCATAAAACATCTCTTTAAAATGCACGAGTGAATTGGGCAGCAGGAATGAGTTTGGGATAATCCCGCACACACACACACACACACACACACTGCTTCTCTCCCCGTTTCCAGAGATTTGAGCCGAACGCAGCGCTGCAGAGAGATTATTTTAATCTGACGCATAAAACAGGGTTTAATACTTCAAAACTGAACATTCAGATATCGCTCAGAAACGGGATCTAGTGCTCACTTATGTACACCCTCTATAAAGGCTGTGACAGGACAAGTACTTCTCTTAACTTTCTGTGAACCTTTATTATAAAACAAGTGTTTTAAAGTTCAACTACATCCCCAAACATGTGTTTTTGAATCCACCTGTCACTCAAGCGGCCACGCCCTTAATTATGCAGAACTTTAAGGCTTCATATAATTTAAACTGATGAGTTATAAATAAAAATCACCCACTCACAGTCGTCATGAAGGGCAACATTAGCGATATAGACCAAAACCACTTTTTGCACCAGACTGTAAACATGTTTTTTTCTGCTGTAAAGTTGGGCATTTTAACATGCGGGTCTATGGGATTGAGTCTCTTCTGCAGCCGGCCTCTAGTGGCCAGTGGAGGAACTGCAGGTTAACTCACTTCTGTGTCAGATTCAAGAGAGACACTGGAAGGTCGCGAATCTGATGTGATGTAGTGTATTCCAACTTTTAACTGACCTCACATCTTTAGTTACAGATGCTGCCCGCTCTAAATCCGCACCGCTCAAAGCCTCCAGCGCCACAAGCAGCGCCACCAGTCGCCCTCGACCCACCAAAACCCCCGTTCCCAGCAGCACCACAGCCGAGAAGAAGCCGCTGGTTCCCCGCGCTGCTCGACCCAGTGCCACCAGCACCACGACTCGGCCCAGTGGCGTCCCCCGACCCAGCTCCGGCTCCACACCAGCGCCCGACATCAGAAACATCCGCTCCAAGATCGGATCCACAGACAACATCAAATACCAGCCAGGAGGAGGGAAGGTAAGAACACACTCTTCATAGTGGACGAGTTTGAGACCAGTCTTTACAGTCTGATTCATGTTCAGTCCAGTAGCCGTACAGTAGGGGTGTAATGATACCTCATGTCACGATTCGACACAGATCACGATATGATATTATTGCGATACTACAAGACATATGATAAAACGTTAACAAAAAATGTACTGATGATTAAAATGCTAAATTTGGTGTTACATTGTGTGTGTAAATGAATAGGCTTGCCTTTTCTTTTCTTTTATTGAAATAATGATAACATTAGGGGAATACAGAGTCATTCAAAACATTTAAATCTATAAATAATTAAGATTACAATTCTGCATCTTGTATCAAAAATCTATCATACATCTAATACATCAAGTATCCTTTTTAAAAGCTAAGATGTTCAGCTTTCCGATCGTTCGGAGAGTCTTAAAAAAACCTTTAAGTCAGTGGAAAATAGTCTACATACATTTTGCTTTATGTAAATGATATTTCTCAAATAAATTTAGGATTTTAGTTATATTATCCATTTCCAATAAACCGGTATCACAATCCATAAACAAGACCATTATATCAGTTGTAAAACACCTCAAAAAGAAACAGAGAAACCCTGGACCAGAATAATTTGCTATAGACTTGGACTCGGTGCTGAAACCCAAAGCACAGACAATAGAGACACCAGAATACCAATATTCATGATTCTGAAGCTGAAAATACAGATTATTGTAGATGAATATGCTTGATCTCTGTCACTGACTAGATATATTTAAAATAATGTCGGCCACTTTTACTGGTAACATCAGACATTTGGCATTATCAGGAGCCACAAATATTCCCATTATTATACATTATATTCAACATTATATACAGTAGTTTAATGTAGCACTGACACTAAAACTCTGAAAACTTTTATTTTTTAACATTTAATTTTTTATTTTGGGTGATCTATACACAATACATATTGCCACTATCCACGATACATATTGTTGCATTTTGTTTTGTGATATATTGTGACACGATATATTGTTACACCCCTACTGTACAGTATTATTTATATTTTATTATCCGACAGTAACACTGTGGTATCTTGAAATATCTAATCTCAGAGTACTGTACAATTACCATGTTCATATACCAAGGTATTTACATGATACTCCAATACAAGTAAGTACAACAACAATCAACATTGTACTGTGTCCAAAAAAACTAGTATTATCACGAGTCGGGGACAAATTTGTTAGTAATAAGGGGATTATTCTTATCGAACACGAGCCAGTTTGACATGTTTGAGTGGTTTCTCTTCACCGCTGCCGTCCTCAGTTTGCTGATCTGAACTGCGTCTTTTAAACAGTCTTTATTGAATGACTGTAACCTGAAAAATTATGACAATTACAGGCAGCGTCCAGAGGTAGAAAGACATCAGTCTATTTCACAATTAATATTAATATAATGATATTAAAATATGAATGTATGGTTTAATATATTTTATATAAATATAAAAATACTATATCTAGAATATTTATTATATAATGTATTCAATTATTATATAATATATATATATTATAATAATTGAATAACTGAATACATTACACAAATATTCTAGATATAGTATTTTTATATATATATATAATAAATTTTATATATTTATTATATATAATGTATTAAATTATATATATACCGGTATATATATTAGGGCTGTCAAACGATTAATCACGATTAATCGCATCCAAAATAAAAGTTTGTGTTTACATAATATATATGTGTGTGTATGTGTATAATTATTTTGTATATAAATGCACACATGTATATATTTAAGAAAAATATGTTATTTATATATAAAATGTTTATATTTATATAAAATATACATTATATATAGGCTACATTCAGTCTATATACAGTATATACATGCAAATATTTCTTAAATACACATGCATGTGTGGGTATATATGTATTAAAAATAATTATACACAGTACACACACATATATTATGTAAACACAAACTTTATTTTGGATGCGATTAATCGTTTGACAGCCCTAATATATATATGATATAATAATTGAATACATTATATATAATAAATTTTCTAGATATAATATTTTTATATGTATATATATATATATATTTATATATACATGTAATATAAAAAATATATTGAAATGTACTTAAATATTTACTAGATGCATCCTTCACCTAAATGAATTTATAAATATAATTTAAAGAAAGGGTATTGCAGTCTTTAAATATTCTCTGAATGCCCAAACGCTGCCTGTTAAGTCACTCACTTTGGTTTTGGACACACACGTTCTGTCCTGATCAGCAGATTTGCAGTGTGTAAACAGAGACGGGCTCGTCTAATGTGATTACGGCTGAGTCTGTATTCTGTTTACTTCTATATGACTCCCTGTGTATTTAGCTCCAGTCTTCATAATCATTATTGCTCACTCACGTCCTGATGTCATAGCTTCACCTTCTGGTATTGCATCTCTCCCATGTTTGTTGTTCATCCTGGTCTTTTTCCTGGCTGAGCTCTCTCTGTGACTCGCTAACACTCTGCTTGAGGAACGTCTCCTGTCACCACAGATGCACATAATTGAAGAGCCTCGTTTAGTACCAGAGTATCACCGCGGTTGTAAAGCGGGTTGTGTTTGCAGCATGATGACGTTCCACCCAGAGCCCGTGCATGTTAGGAGTGTGTCCATATAAACCTGAGACTCGCGCTGCACAGAGGATAGTCACTAACCCGCCCCAGTTTTGCCTGTTCCCGTCTTTTCCTCCTGTTTCTAAAGTGTTTTCCCAGTTTTTACTTGCGATTACAGTAGGATTTAGGCCGTAGATGAGTATGATAGAGCCGTTTCCACACATGTGAGTGACTGGAGAGGTGTATCTGCAGGTCACAGTGTCTCAGAGCAGGACGGACACACACACCTCGCTCTCCAAAGAGACCAGCCAGGGCAAAGTGAGTTCAACCCATCAGCCCTTCACACTCATGCCTCTGACTGTCACTCTCAGTCTTTCCAAACTCTCATTCTCTGCTCAACAAGCCTACACAGATCTGACACTACAGCAGCTTTAGGAAGTGCGTGTGTGTGTGTGTGTGTGTGTGTGTGTGTGTGTGTGTGTGTGTGTGTGTGTTATTAGGGGTTCAAGCACGAAGTGCTGAAACCCTATTGTTATTATTATTTTTATTTATTTTTTGTGTGTATGTATGTTTCAATATATTTATTATGAATAATAAAATATAATATTTATTGTATATTCAATTAAATTACAAATAAATAAATATATATATATATGAATTACTAATTAATATATTATTTTATATTGAATTATATTATATAAAAAAAATATATATATATATTATAACAATAAACACACTATAAAATATGTATACAATTTAATAATTAATTGTATACATATTTTATAGTGTGTTTATTGTTATAATATATATATTTTTTTTTTTGCAAAAAGTATATAATTAATAATTATTAAATATATAAATTATATATATACACATATAATTATTATTTTATATAATATTTTAATATTAAACTTTGAAAATATGTAGTATATTTTAAATGAATATTAAAATATTTTATTTGTAATTTTAAATATGTAATGGATTAATAATTTATATTTTCGGCTTGTAATGTAGAATTAATATAATATCTGATCTTGTTATCAACTGTTAAAAAAACATTGTTCAACCACTCATCTTTCCATCTTTCCTTCTGGAGATCTTTGGTTTTTGGATTCACATTTGGTTTTTATCAAAATATTATATTTTATTAGTGTTTGTCTCTTGCACCTCATTAATATACATCACATCATACATCACAGCAGGGATACTCAAATTGCATGTTTCGGGGACGACTAAAGAAAACGCTGAACGAGCCAGTACATTAAATAATAGATACTGATAATAATATTACTTATTCAGTTTTAAAATGTGCAGTAAACAACAATAATTTAAATGTACAAGACACTCATTGTAGTCGAGATTGTCTGCAATAGATTATCAGTGAGGCACTAAAACAAACGCTTCTATTGTGAGTGTTTGCAGCAGAGACGCTGATTCATTGATTATAATGAGAGTATTGTTATGCCATTCAAATTAATGGTGACGGTCCACTGAGAAGCCTTGAGTATCCCTGCATCACAGTGTTCATTTGATCCTCAGTATTCATCAATTCCTCAGTCTAAATCAGTTCACTTAAACGGGGCTAACGTTCACAGACGAGCCGTCACACTAACAGTGTCAATGCGCAGTGCATTAATGGGGTGCTAGTTGCTTTTAGATGCTTCTGCTTGTGTCCTCTGTTGTCTGTCCTCTCTAACCTGCTCCTCCCTGGTGTCCCGTCCTTCCCGGCCCGCCGTGCTGTGTTATAGGTTCAGATAGTCTCCAAAAAAGTGGACTACAGTCACGTGACTTCCCGCTTGGGCTCCAAGGACAATATCAAACATATTCCTGGTGGAGGGAACGTAAGTAGCGTTACTGCATGCGGTGTAGTCGTTGTTCAAACAAACACCATCATTCTGTCCCTTGTGCCACATGAACAATCAGACGCTTTCTTCGCTTATGAACAAATAAGAGCGGGAGGAACGCTGCCAAATCCTTTTCCCAAATCCAAAACAACATTATAAGCAAATCACGGTGACAGCAGAGGTTTGGATTCCTGACGTTTGTTCATAATCTTCTTTAAATCTGCTGCGTTTGCTCTCTCTGAAATCTCACCTTTATTCACGCAAGAGTTTAGAGATCCGCTCCGATGTCATTGTTTGGTTTTCCTCGTCACCTGGTGTTTAAGCACTGCATGCCACTTTATTCCTGCCTTGAGCAGCTTTCTCTGGTCGTATCACATGATTATGTTTCTTCACAGGTCCAGATTCTCACCAAGAAGGTTGACTTGAGTAAAGTGACCTCCAAGTGTGGATCCAAGAGCAACATCAAACATAAACCAGGTATGATGCGAGCGAAACCGCTTTAGTGTTTTCAGTTCCTCCTCAAGCTTGCTTTAAAGGGGTGATTGATTATAATTTCACTTTTCTAACTTTAGTGAGTGTGTATTGTTGCTGTTTGAGCATAAACAACATCTGCAAAGTTACAATTCTCAAAGTTCAAAGATATTTGCTTTTAAAGAAATCGTTTTTTAAGGGCTACAACAAACCCTAGAATTTGCATAAACCCCGCCCCCAGGAATGCAATTTATAGATTGAAAAGATAGATGCTAATCAATGACTATAAGATAACTCCACATCAGCTACATAAATTCATCAACTAGCCATTCATAAATGTCCTTTTGCTTCTACATGTTGTCACTTCTTCTTGAGTCTCTCCATCATTGTTTTGAACTTAAAAGGCTAAAAGTTTTAGAAATTGTCAGTGCATGTCTGTGTGAGGACACAAGCTCTTGTAGCTCCGCCCCCTGTGCCGGGAGCAGCAGCTCATTTGCATTTAAAGGGACAGAGATAAAAACTCTGCCTTTTTTGCTAACCTACAAAAAGTGACAATTTTAACATGCTATATAAAAATATCTGTGGGGTGTTTTGAGCTAAAACTTCACACACACACTCTGGGGACATCAGAGACTTATTTTACATCTTGTGAAAAGGACATTATACCACCGCTTTAAGCGATTGGTTTGCATGTTTGATGATTGTCTGTAGGTGGAGGCGAAGTCAAGATCGAAAGCCATAAGGTGAACTTTAAGGATAAAGCTCAGTCCAAGGTGGCGTCGATGGATAACGTCAATCATGAGCCCGGTGGCGGGAACGTCAAGGTGAGACTCATGAAGATCCGGATCACAGTTAAACATCCGGATCGCAGTGAACATCCATCACAAGCAAACCTGGTGTAGATTTGAATGAGAACCAAGTGATCCTGCCGCTTTATTCCACATTAATTCAGACATTTTTAAATAAAAACATCGGTAACACTTTATATTAAGACGATGTAGTTACGTTACTAAACCAAACCCTAACCATAACTTTATAGTACGTACATGTAGTTAATTAATGTTACTCGGTACTTACATTACCTTAAAATAAAGTGTAACCTAAACATGTTTTGGTGTTTTTTTTAGTGTTTAAAGGAATAATTCACCCCAAAATTATATGTTTTTTAATAATCTTTCCTCTGTCTCACCCTCATGTTTTTCCAAAACCCTCATAATTTCGATGAAACATAAAAGATAATGTTCATAAAGTATGATGACCGTAGTCCACGACTCCAGGATCATATTAGCTGTCGAGATTTGCTATATAGTCTATATTGTTTTACATAAGGGTACTATATAGTAGGGATGCACGATATAGGATTTTGGCCGATATTCGATATGCCGATATTTTCAAACTAATTTTGCCCGATGCCGATACCGATATATTTGTATTTTTTTTAAGTGCAAAAAAAGCTTATTAAAGCTTCTATTAATGTTCTCAGTCAAGAGCAGTGAGTGATTTCCTCTGTGTTTTGTTGTTTTATTAACATTAACGGGATAGTTCTCCCAAAAATTTAAATTGTCATCATTTACTCTCTCAAGTTTCTTTCTTCTGTTGAAATTATAAAAGTTATTTGGAAGAATGTGGCTAACCAAACAGTTGCTGTACTCCAGTGACTTCCATAGTATATTTAAGCACAAGAAAGAAATGAATACAGGTTTGAAACAACATTAGAGTGAGTAAATAATGACAGAATTTTTATTTCTGGGTGCAGTATCTCTTTAAAGACCAGCGGCAGAATATTATTACTGTCTCTTTAAGAACTGCACGCGACGCGTCTAATATACACGCATTTGACAAGCAGATTTTCTCTGTTTGCTTTCACTTTAGACATAACCAACATTGTTTATGTAAACCGTGTGTGTATTTGACAGTATCAGCGCAATAAGACTGGAAAGATTAGTCCAGTATGCAGGCGCTGTGACAGGCTTTAGTTCCTGTGAGCGTCGGGTGTAACGCGCTCAGAAAAGCGGATGTTAGAACAGCGCATCAGCACGTGAATGACATGTTTAACCAGCAAGACTTTGACGCACATGCAAACAATGAACGTTTGTGAATTGCGGTGTCCCGTGAGTGTAACTCTACCTCTGCGTTTACATGTGATGTGAATGTACGTCGCGTTGTACAGTATGTTGAGATGAAGGCGCCAGAATTGAACTGATAGAAAGCACGATACTATGATTTATCTTCAAAAGCAGATCGTGGAGACATATTAATCGTCCACGATCAAAAACCGTGAGACGCACACCCCTAGTTGGAAGTTTAAGTTGCTGGCGCTCATGCTTCGTTCACGGTCGTCACGTGCGCATAGGAAACACGCCACCCTATCGGCAAGACTCATCGGCAGAAATATTCATATCGGCCGATGCCGATGATGGTCATTTTAAGCTTTTATCGGTCGATACCGATGTTGGCCCGATATCATCGTGCATCCCTACTATATAGTAGATACCAAATACTCACCAAAAAATTGCAAAAATGTTGACTATTATCGCATACTTTATTCTGACTTTATAAACTCTATTATAGAAATGTATTTGCAAGCATAAAGTACAGTCACTCACATAAATCTATATATATATGGCAAATCTCGACTGCTTGATTGTTTATATTGTCACAAAATGTAACTATATTGCTCTAATCTGAGAAATGCGACTAAAAGGCATGAAGATATTAAGATATTATAAACATTAGCCTCATGCTTTGAAACTGTGTATTGTGAAAAGCACTATATAAATAAATTTGACTTATCAAAATTGTATAGATTTATGAGGAACACTCTTAAAACTCATTCATGCGAATGTGAATATTGCACACAAGCACAAGAGAGATTTGAATAACACTTTTTAGGTGAACTGTTCCTTTAAAAGCTTTGCTTGATTATATATCAGTGGTAAGTACAGAAACATTACGCTTGCAATCAAACTTTTAAACATGCTGAAAGAACATGTCTTTGATCAATGTTATTTTTCATGTTTTTATTTGTTTTAAGTCCATGTGTTTCATTTCAAAAACATTCCAAACTCAAAACAATCACTTATTATTATATGTATATAATATATATATATATAAAGAAATTATATATATATATATATATATACACACACATTATGCTTAGTTTCTCTGGTATGTCAGGCAACAGAAAGACTAAATTGGAGTTCTCATTGGTTCTGGTTTGTTTCCAAACGTACTGTGTGATTATGATGTCACCTGCCCCTCAGCCTATGGCCATCCAGTCACATGACCACTCGCTGCGCCCATTGTTGTTTTACCCATCATCTACATTTTGGTCACACCGATACAGTTTTTAAACTTTACCATATTACCATATACGTTTACTGAGAAAACAATGTGAATTTGAGTCTTTTGACCAAATCTGTAATTAATATTAAACTACCTTTAATGATACATTATAGTATAACCTGTACATTGTATATTGGATGAAAACTTTTCTTTTAATTCATCACTGTAGTTTTAGTCCTTGCTGACATGTTTATAATGATTGAAAAATTGCACGTGTATTAAAAATACATGCATTTTAATGATTAACAGGCATAACCATTTGCATGGGATTCTATTCATTGCCTTTTAATTCATGTTATGTAGAAATCAAAGGTTAAGTCAGTTCCACATGATAGTCGACCATATACATTCATGAGGTTCTTTAGTCATGATTTTATTGATTACTCCGTTTTGTTTTGCTTTGTTCCCTGCATGGATATACAGTTCCAGTCTAGTGTTTCATTTTAGAATAAGCGTATAAGAAATGTAGTGACCAAAAACATTCAGGACAAATCAACCAGACTGATTACAATCTTAATTTAGTAAAGCTACAGAACTAATTTCACTCATTTAAGCAGATGACAAACAGAAGCATCAATTCAGTCCAGTGCATCCAAACTGGTCCTGTATGTCAGCCATCTTGCTTCTCCATGCAAGGTTTTTGATTTCTATAGTGTAGAAGCAGCACACACTCCTAGCTCTGCATCATCAGCATCTCACCCGCCGCATCTATTGACCCTGCTGTGTGTTTTAGGCTGAGACTGAGGAGGGTAGCGGGGCTCCCTCTAGTGGTGTCTCGGCCCCGGCCCAGGAGAACGGGCTGAAGGAGGGCGGCCCCTGCAGGAGTGACGAGCTCCGGGACCCGCAGGGCCTGGACTCGCTCATCCCTGAAACAAGTAAGTGTGTGTGTGACCCAGCGCCCCGGCCGAAGCCCCGTCAGACTAGAGTTCCTGTAGAAATGCCAGATTCCATCTCATTTACAACTGAATATTATGTTTTTCCATCATCTCATACACACTATTAGTTTATTTTTTATTTTTTTGTCTTTAGTTCTTAATTTTAAACGCCATGTAAATTGTGTTATTTCGTTGTCTGGTTTATTACTGTACGAGAGGTCGACCAATTATGAATTCAAAACCAATGATGAAAGAGGATTAATTGGCTAATAGTTTTTATAATCAAAAACATTGAATGTAACATTTATTTATTTTTTAGGTTAAATCATAATATTGAAGAAAGCTTAAATGTACCATTTTTATTTTTTAAAGTGAAATCAAAACATTGAAATAAAAACATTGATTGTAACCTTAGATTTTTTTCCAAATAAAATCAAAACATTGAATAAAAAGCTTAAATGTATTAAGTTACATTTTTATTTTTAAAGTAAAAAATCTAAATATTGAATAGAAACAATTGAACAAAACATTGAATAACATTTTTTTAAAGTAAATTGTTTTTATTCAATATTATGATCATACTTTAAAAAATTATTATTCAGTGTTTTATTCAATCTTGACTATTTAAAATATCGAATTCAATGTTTGTGTGTAATATTTCTAAGTTACTTAAATAAAATGTTACATTAAATGTTTTTATGTTTTATTCAATAAGTGAATTCAAAAACATTGAATGTAACATTTTACTTTAAAAATAGCATTACATTCAATGTTTTTATGTAATAATTCTATTTCACTTAAAAATGAAATATTGAATAACCTTTTTTAAGTAAAATCAAAATATTGAATAAAAATAATTGAACAAAACATTGAATAACATTTTTTTGATTTTACTTTAAAAATATTATTCAGTGTTTTATTCAATCTTGACTTTCCTTAAAATATTGAATTCAATGTGTGCATGTAATATTTCTAAGTTACTTAAATAAAATGTTGCATTGAATTTTTTTATTCAATATTTTGAAGTAAATTCAAAAACATTTTACTTCAAAATCAAATTACATAAAAACATTGATTTTAATATTTCAAGTAAAGTCAAAAGATTAAATAAAAGAAACGTTCCATTTTTTAAAAGTAAAATCTAAATAGTGAATAAAACAAAACAAATTGAATATGTAACTGAAATGGTGTGTGTAGTGTAGATGTGTATATTCATAAGTGTGTCGACCTCTGTGTTAAACTGATGTTTGAACGGGGCAGATCTCTGATCACCAAACCGTCTTGACCTCTTCTTATTTTTCAGGCATCTAACTCGACTTTTTGCTATCACTCTTCCCTTTTCATTTCAACCCCGCCACTTCCTCTCCTCCCCTTGTTTGTGTGCTGTCCTCCTCTGTCCTGTCTTTCTCCACACTCTGATGCAGATTGAGTCTTTCAAGCTAAATTTCCGCGAGAACGCCCGCTCTCGCACGGACCACGGCGCTGACATCATCACCTGGCCCGTCTCGAGTGACAGCCCTGTTTTCCACAGCAGCGTTTCGCTCACCGACTCCCTCATCCCTCGCTCTCACACCACGCCGGCCCTCATCTCCTCACCAGAACAACGGGGCGAAGTCGGCTCGCTCAACGACCTCCGGACATGATCTCTCTTTTCATTGGTCCGCCGCTCCCTAAACCCCGCCTCCTACCATTGCTAAGACTCATATGATTGGTGTGCTGTTTGTTGACGTTCTTGACCGTCATTCCTGATTGGTGCAGTCATCAGGATGCGCAAAAAAATGAAGTGGATTGTGAGTGAAATACTCGCGCTTTCGGTAGCGGTCTGGATGGGGTTTGCTGAGATTACGGCTAAACTCACAGCTAACAGTCACGACACCTGCGACGCCACTGTTGTAGAGCATGATCTAGTTTAGTTGCTTTCGTTTCTTTTTTTATCAGTGTTGCAACTCTCCACTCGGTATTCATAATCATGATGTAGCTGAGGTGATCACCACACACACACACACACACATCTGGATCCATCTGGACATCTCTCTCGCTGCCTTCAATCCTCCGGGGAAGATCGTGCTTATGAGGAATGCAGTTCAAAGTGCTTTACAACACATCCGATATGCTGGAAGATGGAGAAAATCATGTTTTTTCACTTTCAGAAGCTTCTTTTAGTGGCAAAGCAACAAAATGAAGAGCAAAGAATGTGTGCAACTGATGCGTTTTATAATTCTAATGGCGCCACAGAGCATGATGGGAAATGTAGTTTGGTTGCATGAAGCTTTAATCCGCAGACACACTAGAATTCTATGAACACGGCAAACATTTAATGCATCCAAAATTTAAAAAACTTCTCAACTTTACTTTAATTTCCGCAGATTTAAAGTTCACGCCGTCTTCTGTATCGTTCACACGTCTTTATAAGATACAGATTCACCAAACTTGACTTTTAGAAAGCTGCGAAATTCACATAAATTTGCGCTTTCTGTCTGAATGGACGTCATTGTTGTGTGACCGCCCGTTAAAGCTTCATTAATTAGCTAAATACATATTTTCTGGGCAGCATTAGCCTACACAAAAGGAATAGTTAAAACACACACTATTCAAATGGCTAATAAAATCTTCCGCTACAATTCTGGGAAAGTTTCCTGACATTAGCTTCGAGATCGTGTGGCGTTCGTCTCGTAAGCACGATCATTCCCGCAGGATTTGAAGGCGGCATCATGTGACCCTCTCTCACCTCACCTTTGACCTCCAGTAGAGCTGAAACTGAATCTCATAGGCTATCTGAATCTCTCTAAAACTGTTTCGTGATGCTGTGTTTGAGTGAATACTGTAGCAATGAACTGTGTTGTTAAACGGTTTACTTTAACTCTTCGTATCCTTTCGTTTTATTTTCGTGACCAGCGGATGTTTCCTTTTCCTTGTTATTGTAAAGCAATATAACGCTCTCCTAAAATGCCTATAAGACATTAAACTCGACGCACAGTAAACGACGCTCGTCGTGTCAAACGCAGATCCAGACGGGTTCGTGAATGTGAAGAAGGGCTGAGCTGTGAAGAAAGATAACCTTGTGAAAAAGAAGTGCACTATTGGATTTAATACACTTCAAATTGTAAAAGTATATTTAAAAAAAATAGATATTATTATTTAAATTAAAGGCCGTGCTTAAAAAGAGTGAGTTTCTTGACGCACAAGTTTGTAATAATGTCTAAATAAAAGTTTTTAAATCGTTTTAATAAGCTTTGCCGTTCTTTAAAGAAGTTTAATTATTTTGAAGTGTTGAAGCACACGTAAAGTACTTGATTATAATTTGAACTGTAGTGTGTTATTCAATATATAATGTCTTGTCAGCTGTACACTTTAACCTTATTTCAAAGACAATACCAAGAAATTATATAAACATAAACCCTACTTGTGGCTCAACTAACTACATTTAAAATCATTTATAGTACATTATTTAAGTGTCTGGATATTCAGTTTGCACTCACTGTAAGTATATTCTAATTTCGTTAATAAGTACTCTTTTTAAAAGTGTACTTCTTTTTCACCAAGGTCTTGAATCTGACGAAGTGTGGAGACGAACACAGTGGATTATTTAAAGAGGGGTTTCTGTCATGAATTGGTGATGTTTTGGCATCATATACAGTAGGTACAGTGTGTTTTAATGATGGACCCGGTGCCGAGTGTGTGCCTGGGACGATAGACTCTTCTAATTCCCTGCCTTTAACGGGTGCAAAGACAGAATGTCACAGCTTGAAACCTTTTACGTACTTTTAATAGTTGCTTTATGAGAAACCAGTGAAAGTGTCAGTGAGTCTGGTGGTGGTTTTAATATTATTGCGTATGTTTCTGCTGGTCTTTTTCTAAGAGTAAGAACATGCGAGTCGAAAGCTTGTAGCTGATTTCTCTCGTAGCATTTTCAGTTTATCTCTTTTACGGTTGCACATCGGTTTTCATCGGCGTTCTTTAAAGCGCTTTCCTTTTTATGAGTATGACAAATTATGAAGCTTTGTTGCATATGTTTCTTATTCTCGTCAGAACATGCAAAGCAATAAGACTGTCGGTATGACAAACCCCAGATTTTGACATTTAGAAATCTACACATCATGCATGACAGCGCATTAAGATCAAGACATATTCTGTGATTGGTTGAAATAATCGGCAAATGCATGACCTTGTTAGAAAATCCACAGCATTTGAGAGAGAGCTTCTGTTAAATAAGATTTGAATATTGTTTTAGATAATGAACACAAGTAGAACAGTGTAACTTCATGATGTATTCTCATTTGCATTCAAAATAATTCACTTATGAATTGGGAAAATGCCAAAACAATGGTTACGTTTATTTACTAATTGATGATTTTGGATATTATCCAATAATGGACATTATTTATACCGTCTGAAAAAAAAATCTGGGTTGTTTCAACCCATTGGGTCAAATATGGACAAACCCAACCTGAATTTTTGTCCATATTTGACCCAACCAGAATTTTTTGGTGTAGTCTTTTTTTTTCTTTCCAAGAAATGAGAGGTGTGTAAATATTAGTATTTGAGCTGTGTTCAGCTTTTGAACACTATGGGTTGCTTTCTTTAAGGCCCTGTAGTCTTTCAGGACGGTGATGATGTTTGTAGTGAAACGGTCACGTTTGAATCGCTGATTGAACCCCGAGAACAATCACAGGATCATTTATATTCTTTACATGCATTTACAGTTGCTCTCCGCATTGTTAGCAAATGGTTATATTGCTATCTCTGTGAATGCAGCACAAAAGTGAACACAACGATCAAAGAAAGCGAGGGCTGATATTATGCACCTTTAATTGCTAATGTCTATATTATTATTGCCGTTTTGGCCCTGCATTTTTTCCAGTGAAAATGCAGAGAACAAATGTCTTGAGATCTATTAAAGCACATGTATTTGGCCGCCCTGTCTTTAATGTCGTGGCTAGCTTGCTAGTGCTTATGCCCAGATGATGCCAGGTGGGTCACGTGACGTTCAGATGGGCATCGATATTTAGCCCATGTTCTCTTAACGTCTACTAATAATGTTTATGAATCTCACATAACCCCTTATGTTTCTATGAATAGTCTTACAAGAGAAAGATGCTCTGAATAACACTGTCAGAACTAAAATGGGGGGGGTTGCATTGCATGTGTTTCAATTGCACAGATTTTATTGTGCCATGAAGGACCAGGGCATCCCGTTGAATCAGGGAGAGGAGAGGTCCAATTATTGTTGTTATGATGATGATGATTTTTTTTTTATTATTATTATCTGGGAGTAATCTGGGAGAGATGTTGCCCTGGAACAAAAAGATGTACAACCCTAAAGTAACATGGAAGCTAAAGAAACGTGACATTAATGTAGTAGATTTGGTTTCTTGTGATGCGGTAAGAAGCTGTAAGCTGATACGAGCAGAACATTCAGAAACCAGGTGAGACTGTTTGCCAGACTCTCATCATTTGCAAGGTTTTTGTTGGTTTGTTTCCTTTGTTTTTGAGTTTTTCCATGAAAATTGACTTTCATTATATTTTTGATTTGAATGAGGTGTTTATTGTGGTTAATTGTTAACTATGATGTGATTATTAAACATAAAATAAAATAAAGTGTTTAAAACATGCTGTTGGTGTTGTTTGTTTTTTAATATATTAAAGCAAAATACATGATCTTGAGAATTTGGCACATTACATGCTTCACATCTTTGTTTTAAGATGGTTATTAATTTATTTTATGAATTTTTAATTTTAGATTTCTGAACATTAATTTTGGTTTTACATTAAAATTATCAGCATTAAAAACTGCCTTGTGAAACTGCCATTCATTCATTACATTAGCTATATTTGATAACATCTTTTTCACAGCATTTTATTTGTGTCTGAAACATTTTGCATACTAGTTTGCAGGTTGGTTATATCAAGCATCTTGGAAAAGTTCCCAGTGATGTTCTGAGGTAGGGTAATCATTGTCTGTGTTCATATAATCCAGTGTAAATTAATATTCCAGTTTCACTTGATGTGTTTGCGGGTTAATAATATCCTGCTCAAACAAACATTCAGTATTTTAATTAAGTGTCAAGTCACCTTATACTGCTTTGTTTCGAAACAATTTTCCAGTAATAAACAGTTAATGTACAGAATCAATGATACAGACTTCATCAAATATGAGACAAATTTAACACAATAGAAGACAAGTGTCAGCTCGCAAGCTATTAATCTTGTCTTGTATGAATGCTGCTTTCACGTCACGTGCTATCGGTAATCGGGGAGGACATTAGGTTTATTATTGCCTATTTATTCTATTTATTTTGTCTTTTCAAAATTTTAACTACTAAACTCGTATTTAAGATCATTAATTTATGCAATAAAAATAATAATACAATAATTGTCCATCACGAGATCATGTGACGTCAGGCAGTCAATGCGTCATGCGAGAGCGGGAATTTACAACCGTCACTGAATTTTCTCCTCAGGTTCCTTAAAGATGATTTTTGACGATAAAATACTTTTATAATTCTTAAAGTACATAGCTTGTGTTGATATTCAATTCAACCTAATATAGATGTTCATATTTGTACAGTTTTACATTTGAATTGTTCGTTTTTATTCAGAAGATGTTACAGACAAAATGTCAGACGTGGCCACGGTATGTATGTACTGCTACATGTCTCATTGCTTAGAACTAAATTAAGCGGTTAATAAAGTGCCTAATTACGTTGTATAATGTAGCTAACAGTGCTATTGATGAGGTGACATAAGTTACTCATGGTGATTTGATCGCCATAAAGACGCGAATTTTACACTCACTGACCCGTGATTTGACTGTTTAGTATAACGTTACACATTTAACCTGAGAATATATTGTCTATAAAATATTTGAATTAAAACAAATATATTTATCACAGGCTATTTTCACTTGAGGAAAATCCACAAAGTAAATGAGGATACGCGTCTCCTGAGCTCATTTAGGACACAGATCACGATTTACAAAGGTAAGATAAGGTAAGCTACAAACGATAGATGTTGGACAACATTTAACATCTAGTCACCAACATTGCACGTTTATATTGGTTTATTCGTCAGGTGCCAGTGTCATCAGTTGCCATCGGCCAGTGTTGATGTCCGATTTGCGAAGAGACTCTTTTGAACAGGTTCTTTTTGTCTGTTAAAGTGATTCAGAAAACACCCTTGGTTTGAATCACAGGCTGTGTTCGAAATGGAGCACTAACTTACTGTTTACTGGCGAGTACACAGTTCATACTGTATGCTACAGTGTTGTCACATGACAAACATTGAACATTAATTCAGCAAAGCTGTCCAGGTAGTTACCTTACAAATAAATGTGCTAACCATTCTTTTTTAGAAGTGAAAATGTTCTCCCTTTCGGCTATCCTCACTAAGGGCTGTGCGATATAGCTAAAAAGGTTATCACGATATAATGTTTCATATCGTTCGGTATCGATAATTATTGACATTTTTTATAACCTTTTTTTTTAATACAAGGCAAACAACAAATTATATTAGTTTCAGCAGTCGAAAACAAAATAAATGTAAAAACTTCTTTATGTCTTATATTAAGATAAAAAAAGTAAGTGTTAAAGAAACTCTTGCCTTAAAGCTGCAGTCCGTATCTTTTCCTCTTTGTCGCCATCTCTCTGTTCGAAATCTGTAACTGCAGTGATTCGCGGAATTATTATCTTTACGTGGGTTGTAAATCGGCATGAAACAGCGCGGATGAACACAGTGCTTTGAGGCGAGTGCTGCTGTCAGTCACCGCGCTGTGTGGATACTGTCATACAGAATCACAGATTCACTTTTTGAAAGTTTGACCAACATAAGAATTTTCATAAGAAAATGTCTTCTGAACAAGTAAGTAAAATCCATTTTTGTTCTGACCAACTAAGGGGGGAAAAGCATTCGACATAAGCTTCGTTAGATTTGATCAACGCGATTTACAGCAACCGTGCAAATTATAGCCTACTTTGTTCTCAAATTGTTCATGTTAACAACATCACATCAGCATTGCGTGACTAATATTAAATTTAATGTGTTTTATGATTACCTGCGTAGTTCAGAATTCATATTCTCCATAATAGCAAAACGAGAAAGGCACAACAAAGAAAACTCCATAACTGTGTGAATTAAGAAAACGTACTGTTACACGATTGAACTAGGGCTGTCAACGAATATTCTAAATTCGAATATATATTCGAATAGTTTTAAAAAACAGAAATTCGAAGGTGAAAATTAATATTCGAATCATGTGGAAAAACACGCCCGCGGTAGCAGAGGCGCGGCTTTGCGAGTGGCAAAATTCTGAAGCTTAAAATGTAAAACGCATTTTCCAGCTGCACAGATAGATAGCACAGTGAGTGTCTGGCTCACTCATTGGCTGTGCTGCGTCAACTGCACATCCAATGGCACGGACGCCTCCAAAGTGTGCGCCAATGAGCTAGCATTACATCAGACACGTCAGAGCCCGCCAATGGGGGCGTGGCCAGACGCCCTCGAAATAGCCATAGTAGCAGGCTAGCTGCAGTTTACCACAGCACAGCTCGCTCGGAGCGTTCAATGTCGGTTCTATATACTGTAAAACTTCAATTAATGTTAATAATATTTGTTTCAATCACCGAATGAAGCCTGCTATATTTAGGACAAGAGTCGCGACCTTAAATTGCTTGCACAAAACTCTTGATCAGCACTCAACATTTGTTTATTGTTGTTCATTTAAACCGTTATGCGCAGAGAGCGTGAGGGCGAGAGAGACAGAGAGAGAGAGAAAGAGTGCCTGCGAGTGCGAGCGAGAGTAAGGTCTGCGGTCTTGGCCATTAGTTGATTTACTTGGTTTTGTGTAAGTTAATACGTTGTCAAATATGTTTAAACTTAAATAAACTATGCAAGTAGTTGTGTCTCTTTGTATTAATTTGTCCTGTTATTGACGTAATGCGCGTCATTGACAAAATGCGCAACCAGATATTCGGATAGTTCGAATATATGTGTTTTTTTTAGAGGGAATATTCGAACGTCATTTTTGAGCAATTTTGACAGCCCTAGATTGAACTATTGAAATGTCTTACTTGTTCAGCAGAAAAAAGCCGTCTCTTCTTCCGTTTTGAACCCCTTCAAAACACGGAGTTCACGCACTTTTCAAAAGCCTCGCCGATGTTTAAATCCTTGTGTTCGCATGAGACGGTTTCTTTCTCTTTCTCTAGCCACCTTAAATCCGAAGTACGAAGTCTTTTGGGTTTTATAACTGCTGAATCTCCAGTTGACACTGATGATTGTTGTTTGGATCTTTCTGGATGCCATAAGTTTAATTATGTAAAGTGCTGCGAGAAAAGCCTATACATCTAAACATCTCGTCACGCGCCGTATAGCCGGCTAGCCGAAACTCCTTCTTTATGTGTACGGGTGTGACGTCATGACGCAAAGACATGCTCGAATTTCCCGCGGAAACCCACCAGTTCCACTGGAATTAAAATCATTATTACAAGCTAACCGTTTTGAATCTAGCTACGGCAAGCAGATAGTTTTGACCACTGGCAGAATAAGTTTTTTTTAATATAATTATTTTGGATTATTTTTAACTTAAAAAAGTTATGGACTGGAGCTTTAAATATAATGTTACACATTGTGTGCAATGTAAAAGTTTAAACGTAGAACAATCAAGGCAAACTTTGAGGTGATCAATAACTGTAGGGGTGTAAGGGTTCACAAAATTCAAGGTTCGGTTCGATACGACACAGTGGTGTCACGGTTCGGTACGTTTCCGATACAGCAAAAAGAAAGAAATACCAGAGAAATTTCATGCCTCAACAACAGTCTTCACAAATAATCACAAATAATTCTCTGTTTTTGAAGTTTTAGATAAAGCAGATACGTCAGGGGCGGACTGGGACTAAAAAGTGGCCAGAACGGCCCGTGATAAACGTTCTGCAACACACAACAATTAACACACTGGCTCATTTTGCCCAATTTTTAACACCAATTACTAACTTAAAAGTATATATAAATGAGACTCTTGTCCGGTTTTCTCACGCGGTCAGTTTCTCGTTTTCTTTTCCTTGACTCTTCCGAGCCTGTGGTCACGTTACGGTCAAAAAGCGATACGTTCTCCAGGCATTCTCCAGGTCACATGACCTGGCCAAAGACGGTGCGTCTTCTCCAAACTTACATAGGCGGTATTTCAAGAGGGCAGCCCCGCTCGGAGCATTGATGGTGTCAAGCGCTGTATATTGGCCTGAGGAATCATTTTAAATAACTCATATGCGTCAACTCTTTTGGCCAAAAGTTACACGGTGTGCCTTTAACATTAATAAATGACTGGCATACTTCTTTGTTATAATTTGTCTATCTGATACGCTACTATGAAGCACACGTTTTCCCAAAACAGATTGGTCATCATTACGAGACCTGTAATCGTTGTGGAATGTAGCATTATAACGGGTTCTGTTCCATGCCAATTTCTGTGCATCGTAGAACTTATGGCTATAAGCGCGTTGCGATGAAAATGATCTACTATGGATACATTTAGTGCATAGATCATAAACCATAGCTATTTTTTATTTTAGGACACTTTTGTCTCTGGTTAACTTGTGAAGAGAACACAAAAATGAGAAAGATTCTTATTTTAATTTTGTGAACCATAAATCAGTGTTTCCATAGTGAAATTAGCTTGCTTCGTTCATCAAATATATGAAACCAAAATTGTGTAGAGCTTACTCTCAGTACCTCAGTATTTATAACTTTTTTTACACCACACCTTTAGTGCCCCTTTTGCACTGCATTTACATGATGAGACTAAATGATGGAACAGAAATAAGAAGGAAAGCCACAGACACAAGAATTCATAATTGCAGTTTTTAATGCTACATCAGAACCAGCACATGAACATGGCTTCACAGCACGCAGAATTATAGTGGAGAATTACTCTTCATCGTGTCCTTTCTGTAATAAAAGAGCAAAAAGACAATGTAAGCGTCATTACAGTCTATGTTGTACTAAATTCCAATATTTAATTGGATAAAAATATTTTACCTTGGAACCTGAATCACGACTTTTGGCTCTAAGTTTGTTGACCTGAGATTCAGCAATATCAGCCCTCTCCTCTGCCTCATCCAGCTCATGCTGTATCTTACGGAACTTGCCCAGATTAACATTGGACTGTTCCTCCTAAAAACACAATGATAAAACATACTGTTAGAAATAATACAGAGACAGCAATACTTCAATATTTGGGTGACATCATTTACTTACAGCTTCCTCAGCAGATCTCTTGTAGGACTTGACCTTCAGCTGGAGTTTGTCCACCAGATCCTGCAGGCGAGCCAGATTCTTACGGTCCTCCTCAGTCTGCAAACAAGATACAAAGTGACTTCACTGTTATCTGGTATGAATTATGGTATGAATAAAAATACATTTATTTGTATGTCAAAGATAGTGACCTGGTAGGTGAGCTCCTTGATGCGTCTCTCATATTTACGGACTCCTTTCACAGACTCGCTCGCCTTTCTCTGTTCAAGCTCCACCTCATTTTCCAAATCCCTCACCTATCGAAACAGAAAATGATTATAAATTGACCAAACTCTGAACACAAATGTTCATGAATAATCGTCTTTACAAAATGTATGACTAGAAAATGCGTTAAGAACTGAGTTTCAAAAACGTACCCTGGCCTCCAGTTTCTGGACCTGCTTCTTGCCTCCCTTCATGGCGATCTGCTCAGCCTCATCCAGACGGTGCTGCAGGTCCTTGATGGTCTGCTCCATGTTCTTCTTCATGCGCTCCAGATGAGCACTGGTGTCCTGCTCCTTCTTCAGCTCCTCTGCCATCATGGCAGCATCAGTGATGGCCTTCTTGGCTTTTTCCTCAGCATTCCTGCACTCCTGCACTGCCTCCTCAACCTCAGTCTGAAGCTGAGAATTATCTCCCTCCAGCTTCTTCTTCTGATTCAGTAGGCTGGTATTCTGAACATGGACAATATTGACATTCATGTTGTCTTTTGATGATATTGATATTAAGAATGGGTTTAAAGGTTTTATTTGTCTAATGCAGATGTGTCATACCTGAGAATGCAGGAGCTGAACTCTCTCACTGACATCCAGCAGTTCCTGCTCAGCCAGTTTCCTTCCTCTCTCAGTTTGTTCCACCATGGATCTCAGCTCATCCAGTTCAGCCTGCAGCAGATTGTTGCGTCTCTCCACAATGGCGATGTTTTCTTTAAAATCATCATTACCACGAAGAGCGTCATCTAGTTGCAGTTGGGCATCCTGTAAAGTACAAGTTTTACAAGTGAAAACACTGAAGAACTATGTTGGATTTCACTAAAGCATCATACAATCTTGATTTGAAGAATCGACATACTTTGAGATGTCCATGAAGACCCTTGAGTTGCTTCTGGGCTTCTGATGCCTGTCTGTTAGCCTGACTGAGCTGAATCTCCATCTCATTGAGGTCTCCCTCCATCTTCTTCTTCAGTCTGAGAGCTTCATTCCTGCTACGAGTCTCTGATTCCAGTGAGCTCTGCAGGGTATCCACCACTCTCTGCTGGTTCCTCTTGGCCTGCTCCATCTCTTCATCTTTCTCCGTCAGCTTACGTTCAATATCAGCTTTTACTTGATTAAACTCCAGTTGAGCTCTCAAAATCTTTCCTTCCTCGTGTTCAAGGGAGCCCTTTGAATGTGGAAGAAATTTTGTAAGTGTTTTGTCAAAAATCACCCTTATGTGAACAAAAAGTAAATGCTTATTTGGGGTTACCTCAGCTTCCTCCAAGGCTGTCTGGATTTCTGCTTTTTCCTGCTCCAGCTGCTTCCTAATTTTCTCCAACTCATGGATGCTTTTTCCTGTCTCTCCAAGTTGCTCAGTGAGGTCAGAAATTTCCTCTTTTAAACAGAAAAATTACTGTTAAGGGAAAATATGCTGAATATAACATCTTTTAACTCTGCAGGTAACTAAAATATAGTTACCTTGAAGGTTCTTGTTCTCTCTCTTCATGGTCTCAAGATGATCCAGGACTTCTTCATATGAGTTCTTCAATTTGAAGAGTTCAGTGCTCTGAGATCTAGACTCCTTCTGGGCACTTTCTAGTTCAGTTTGAGACTCCTCATACTTCTGCTTCCACTCAGCCAAAACCTGATAAGGCATTATTAAGGTGCTTAATAATTACTGATTACCAAAAAAAGGCAAAAGTAATACAAATACAAATTAAATTTATAAATCTGTGTATTACCTTGTCAAAGTTTCTTTGCTTCTTGTCCAGAACAGCAGCAGCAGCATTGGATCTCTCCACATCCACCATGAGATCTTCAATCTCATTCTGCAGCCTGTGCTTGGTCTTCTCCAGAGAGGAGCATTTAGCATTGACAGCTTCCACAGCTTCTTCTGCATCTTGCAGACGCTGAGCCAATTTCTTTCTAATTGTGTCAGCAGGGAGATTTTAATGACGGATTAGAAATAATAAAACACAAAGAGGAATTTGTGAACAAACATCTGAAAACAAAATAGTATATTCCCTGCTTCTTACTTAGCATCTTCCAGCTCCTCAGTTCTCTGGATGGCATCAGTTTCATACTTGGTTCTCCACTGAGCCACTTCAGTGTTTGCTTTGGACATACTACGCTGTAGCTCAGCCTTGGCTTCTTGCTCCTCTTCATATTGCTCCCTCAGCAGATCAGAATCATGACGAGCAGACTGAACTGCATGGGCCAGGGCATTCTTAGCCTGAAAGAAAAAAATAGTCAGTTGCTTAGACGTGATTTCTGTTGACCTATTGTGTAACAAAAAAGATTCAACTTCTAGAAAAACATTATGGATCACAAATCAAACCTTGATTTCCTCCTCGAGTTGTCTCTTGAGGTCTTCAATTTGCTGAGTGTAGGACTGCTTGCCTCTGGTCAACTGAGACACTAGGGAGTCTTTCTCCTCAAGCTGTCTGGAGAGTTCACCTGAAATGCCAGGAAAAATGTGTTTGTTGAAGTTATGACACATTTTCATTTCAAAGCTAAAACTTATTCAGTAAAAATTGCTTTATTTTGTGACCTTACCATTCTCAGTTTGCAGCTTGGCTTTCTGCATGGTGAAATCATTGATAGTGCGCTGACCTTCCTCAGCCTTGGTTCTGTACTCACTCATCTGGTCTTCCAGAGTTCTGCACATTTTCTCCAGGTTGCTCTAATGTAAAAATATATTGAGTAAGTATATTATATTGATTTTAAATTATAGTTTCACATAATCCGTCTTAGTGACATACATTTCTGTTTGGCCACAAACCTTTGACTTGACAACTTGTTCCATGTTGGAGACCACATCATCAAGCTCTAACTTCAGTTCACTCTTCTCTTTCTCCAGCTTCTGCTTCACTCTCTGGAGGTTGTCGATTTGCTCCCCCAGATCAGCCACACTGTCTGCATGTTTCTTCCTCAGTGTAGCTGCAGTGGATTCATGATGCAGAGTGGCCTCTTCAAGGTCTCTGCGCAGTTTCTGGAACTCAGCTTCACGTTTTTTGTTCATCTCAATCTGGGCAGCAGTGGCTCCACCAGCCTCCTCCAACCTCTCACTGATCTCCTCCAGTTCTCTGGACAGATCAGCTCTCTGTTTCTCAACTTTAGCACGAGCAGCTCTCTCAGCCTCCAGCTCTTCCTCAAGCTCTTCAATACGAGCCTAGAAATGAAGTAAATTGAAGATTTTGATATGAATTAAGGATGTGATGGGGAGGAAATTCAGTTTTTAATTGTAGTGTCTATTCTCTAACTGAACTAAATAAGTTTTATACTAGAAAAAATCTAAATGTCGGTGTGCGACTGAAACCATGTAACACTGACAATTGCAGCAAGCCTAATATGAATCATAGTAAATTTAAATTATTATTTTACATGATTTAACTTTGGTTTAAACATACCTGCAGTTCCTTCAGTTTCTTCTGGAGCTGGGCACCAAGAGCTTGTTCATCCTCAATTTTGCTGTTGAGCTGTCCAGTTTCAAAGTCCTTCCTTTAAGTTGATATCAGAAAGTTTGATTAAAATAAATCTTATTGTTTTTGTTTTATCAAAATAAAGTGTTTGACAAGTTCTTACTTCTTTAGCTTCTCCTCCATTTGCTGTTTATCATTTTCCAAATCCATAATGCTCTCTTGGGTCAATTTTAAATCACCCTCCAGCTTTCTCTTCGCCCTCTCAAGGTCCATGCGCAGTTTCTTTTCTTGCTCCAAGGATCCCTCAAGCTTGTTATATAAAATATAATTAATTTACATTATTTTGCAACACATATCACACATATCTATAAAGTAAAATTTGCCAATATATTTATAGTGAGATTTTATTGTACTCACATCATCCACTTGTTGCTCCAGCTTGGCTTTGGCTTTGGTGAGTGTGTTGACTTTGTCTTCCTCACTCTGGAGGTCATCCAGCGTTTGCTGATGAGCCTCCTGAAGAGCTTTCTTCTCCTTAGTCAGCTTAGCGATGATTTCATCCAGTGCTGTCATTTCCTCAGTGAGGTTTTTAACCTAAGCAAAAAGGCCATTAGATCAATAAACACTCCAAACACACCATTTACGTATAATGCTGAAAAAGCTATAAGAGGTATTACAGCCAACCTTGTTCTCAGTGGCATGTTTCTCTTTCTCTACTTTGGCCAGAGTGAGCTCAAGATCATCAATGTCCTTCTTGAGCTCAGAGCATTCATCCTCCAGCTTTCGTTTCTTTGCAACCAACTCTGCATTCATCTCCTCTTCATCCTCCAGCCTCTCAGTCAGCTCCTTGACTTTGGCCTCAAGCTGGATCTTGCTCTTGATCAGACCCTCACATCTCTCCTCAGCATCTGTAAGATTATCTTGCTCCTATCAAAGTGATAAAAAAAAGAATATATGAATAATTAAGTTTTTATTTTTACTTGTGAATAAAGTGAATATAAGTTTCATTTCCATATGGACTTACAGACTGCACTGAAAGCTGTAGGTCGTTCTTCTCTTGGAGAAGAGAAACCATCTTTTCCTCAAGCTCCTTTCTGCGGGCTTCAGATTTGGCATAAGCCTCCTTCAACTTGGTGAATTCTTCCTTCATGTTGGCCATTTCTTTCTCAGTCTCTGCACTTTTCAGCAGAGGCTTGATCTTGAAGTAGAGCTTCATCCAGGGCCAATTCTTGACACCCATGAAAGCACGTATGTTCCACTGTATCACCAACAGAGAATCTCTATAGATATTAAATAAGAATGTTCAGTCTTGCATTTTAAATGTAACTTGGAGAATATGTTAAAGATTGAACAGCTAAAATCTAACCTTCTTTCCACAATTTTCTGGAACTCAAGTCTTGATAGAAAACCACGAGCCCTGGACTGAATTCCAGTTATAATAAGTGCAAGACGGTCATCTCGCATCTCTTCAAGAGTTCCCAGAAGACCAGCTTTAAAAAACACCTGAATAGTAAATAATTTTTCGTCAAAAAGGGTGACAATGGAAAAGTGGCTTTGGAAAAAAGTATGCTAATATAAAAATACCTTTGTATGTCCTAACTTGTACTGGGTGTGATCGATGTCCAGAGAGCCCAGAAGTTTTTCTGCACCCTTCTTGTTATCAATGAACTGTCCCTCAGGGATAGCAGCAGGATTAAGGATGCGATATCTACCAAAAAACACACACATTAGCAATTATTTTAATATGTATTTATTTTTAGTTCTAGCAAATTATAAAATTTCCTAATAGAGTTGAAATGATGCAACTTGCAATAATTTGGAATAAGACATGAAAGCCATTTGGTTTCATACTAACCGTTGTTTGAAATCTCCATACTGGACCCTGTTGGGGAATCCCTTTCTGCAGATCCTGATGCCCTCCAGCACACCGTTACAGCGCAGCTGGTGCATGACCAGAGGATTCTCCATCGCCCCAGGAGTCTTAGTCTCATTGGGGATGAGGCAGCGCACAAAGTGAGGGTGAGTTGACCTTAAGTTGGTCATCAGCTTGTTCAAGTTCTCCTATGGTCAAAAAACAAACCATAACTTTGTAAGGTAAGCAATTTTGTATAATTTTTTTGTAGTGAACACATTTCTTTTTTTTTGTTGATAATTTGTTGTAATATTCCATACCCTATGGAGGGCTGAAACAGTTTGGAAAGAAGAACCCTTCTTTTTAGCACCTTTACCTTTAGCGTCTTGAGCTAAAACAAATTAGAAATGTAAAAGAAAATGTTTTAGCTTATATCATTCTGACAAATCATAGTTCACACCCAAAACAAAATTCCAGTAAATATACTGAATAATCTATACTGAACATCAGTACACACTTGCGTCAGCCCCTGAATATCCAGCAAACAGAACAGACAACAGCTTCACGGTAGACTTTTGGAAAAGTCCGACCACAGTCTCATTGAGAGGGTCCTTGTTCTTCACCAGCCAGTTTGAAATGTTGTAGTCCACAGTGCCAGCATAGTGACCGAGGGCAAAATGGGCCTCTGGTCTACCCTTGACAATCCTAGGCTTTTGGAAAGAAGGATTTTTCCCCAAGTGGTTGTCATAAAGCTTAGCTTTAAATGTTGCATCACTGGCTTTCGGGAACATGCACTCCTCTTCAAGGATGGACATGATACCCATGGGCTGCAGATAACAAAATATAGTGTAAATAATATTTAAAAAGAGAACACACAAAAAAAACACACAAAAATGCAGCAGTATTTAAAAGAAAGTACACATAATACGTTTTATAATATTTCTGCACACAAACTCACCTTCTCAATAAGCTCAATGCATGCTGCCAAGTCCATGCCAAAGTCAATAAACTCCCAGTCAATGCCCTCCTTCTTGTATTCCTCTTGCTCCAGCACAAACATGTGGTGGTTGAAGAACTGCTGCAACTTCTCATTAGTGAAGTTGATGCACAGCTGCTCAAAGGTGTTGAACTGCGGGTGGAATATATTGTATTATCACAATGGTCAAACAGGTGTTGGATTTGTTCTTGAATAATAATTTCAGCTTACATCAAAGATCTCAAATCCAGCTATGTCCAGCACACCAATGAAGTACTGGCGAGGCTGTTTGGTGTCCAGGGATTGGTTGATTCTCACAACCATCCAGAGGAACATCTTCTCGTACACAGACTTTGCCAGAGCACCAATAGAGTAGTACACCTGAAAAGAGTGGATGTACATTAAAAAGGGATTCATAATATTGTATTTTTTAATTCTGTAACATGATTGCAAAGCTACAAATTTTCTACAAAGCTACAAAGTTTCTTCACCTGCTGGACACTCTGTCCCTTGGTGACCCACTCATTTCCAACTTTGACTCTTGGGTGGCACAGACCCTTGAGGAGATCAGCAGAGTTCAGGCCCATCAGATATGCAACTTTGTCAGCATCTTGTGAAGAAAAAAAAGTTTGTTAAATTTAGTTTGTTTAAAAAATTCACCAGTGGCAGTGTGGTAATAATTAATATCACTTGCCTTCAGTCCCATCAGCTTCGGCCTGTTCCTCTCTTTGCTTTTGCTTGAACTTCATGTTGCCGTAGTGCATGACGGCACCAGTCAGCTTGTAGATGCCAGACTTTTCATCTGGAGTGAAGCCCAGAACATCGAAGGCTTCCTGTAGTTTAAAAATAGCCAGACAAAGCAATAAAATCACTCTACTCTTTCTTATACATTTTGCGCTACTTTTCAGCGGTTCTAATTTCTGTATATTTTGTTTGCTATATAGGAATAAGTCACTTACATCAGTGGCAATCAGCTCTTCAGCATCATCAATAGATGCCACTTGTGTTTCTCCTTGGGATATGTAAGAGTAGTCATAGGGGTTGTTTGTGATGAGCAGCATCTCTGTAATGAGTGGGCATCACAGTTAGATACAGTATATAGACAGACACATTTGGTATGCATTTAAAATTGTACATCTAATTCCACATCAAAATTTACCCAGCAGTTCTGGTTTCTTCTGAGACAGAATCTGATAGAAGATGTGGTAGTCTCTCTCAGCCTTGAGCTGATAAGTGACACGCGACTTCTCCAGCAGATCTTAATTATGAAACATTCATAAAATGATTGCTGTGTTAAATGTATATGTATGTATTATAGTTGTCCAATCATAGTCCGAATAAAATAAAGAATACTCACAAGTCTCAATATCTGCGGAAGACAATTTTCCACTCACACCAAAGTGAATTCGGATGAATTTACCCTGTTTGGTTAGAAGAATAAAATCACGTAATGATTAATGTTAATTAAATTCAGTTTACACTATTTGGACACAGTACATTAATTATAAAGGGGGTACTTACGAATCGGGAGGAATTGTCATTCCTGATGGTCTTGGCATTGCCAAAGGCCTCCAGGGCAGGATTGGCTTGGATGATTTGATCCTCCAGGGTACCCTATAACCAAAAATATCATCACAAAATCCTCAAATGAACAAGGATTCACAGGCTACCTGCAATATATTTATGTTTTGTGAAATTCTTTTTTATACAAAAATGAATTTGAAATGAATTTATATTCATATTTTAGTACAGGTAGTTACAGATATTTCAATACAGGTAGTTTTGTGGCTATATTCACCTTTTTCTCAGAAGCTGCATCCTTTTTCCCACTTACAGCAGCAATACTGGCAAAATACTGGATTACTCTCTTGGTGTTCACAGTCTTTCCAGCACCGGATTCTCCACTGTGGATTTAAAGGATAGACATTTTCATCATTTCATGTTAAGGCAATTTAATCTTACATAAATTAAGCTGAAATGACTTACGTGATCAGAACAGACTGGTTCTCTCTGTCTGTTGGGTGAAATTCACAAAGTAATTTTTTTTATGTATAATAATATATATATATATTTTTTATTTTGTTTAGTTGATTAGATGTGAAATACAGTTCTGACCTGACAGCATGTACTGATATGCATTGTCAGAGATGGAGAAGATGTGAGGAGGAGCTTCAGTCCTTTTCTTGCCTCTGTAGGCTTTGACCACAGAGGAATCGTACACTGGCAGCCACTTGTATGGGTTGACAGTGACACAGAACAGCCCTGAATAGGTCTGTAATGTGACAGAACGATAGGTTCAGTACAGTTATACACGTATTTACTGGCAGTAAATTCATTAATACTCAATGTTCATCACTCACGTAGATCATCCAGGCTGCGTAACGCTCTTTGAGGTTAAACAGCACAGCGGGCTCGTGCAGGAAGGTGAACATCGCCATGTCCTCAATTTTATCGTACTTTGGCGGGTTCTGGGGGTGAACATCAACGTCCTTCACAGTAACTGTCTGTTGAACAGAGAAAATGAATTAATGTTTTTAATAGCTTTATATGATTGATAATATTCGAAATAATAGGGCAAATCTAAAGTATTTTTGTGTTTCATGTTGCTACTTTTATATAAATATAAATTATATAAAAATATATATTTACAAATATAAATTGTATTACATATTTTTCAGCTTTTTCTGAAGTGTTGCTGGCTAACCAATGCACCCTTACCTTTCCAAATTCAGTGTCAACAGTGACTTTGTCACCATCTCTACTGATGATGGAGGCTTTGACATACTCAACCTCAGGGTCGGGCACAAAGCATTCCTTCTTCATGTCGAAGGGGCGAGTTTGGGCCTCCAGACGCTCCTTGTCTGACTTTCGTAAGAATGAAGCAGCTGACCCGAACTCTGCCATTACGGCGTCACCCATTTTGAAATCTAGAAGTATACAGCCTCATAAATATAATGTCCTTCTTTGACAAAAACTGCATTGAAGCACTCACAACAAGTGTGACATGCAATTGGCATCCCAGTTACAGAAATGATAATCAAATGCATTTCAGTACTGTAGACCATATTTTTCAGGTAGATGCAAAACTTCTCACCTTGTGTTTGTCCAAACTCTGTACCCTAAAACTGCAGAGCTGGTGTTACGCTGAGGACAAAACAAAAGAGTCAATAGCGTTTGAGATCACTGATGTGATTTTGCTCGTTACTGATCAGAAAAAAATCCCTACAACTAAACTTGGAATGGAATTATCTTATAGTTTCAGCTTTGGAAGAAGTGTTTGTGAGGTCTAGGAGATCTTCCTTGGTCTTTTTGTTTGGAGGTTCTTTGGTTCTTACCTTGGGATGTCCTGTGTGTTGTGTCACTCCAGAGTTGATGCTACCTTTTTAAAGGGAGTCACTGATCCCAAAATGGTGGTTTGTCATGGATGCCCCACCCTTGTCCCGCTAAATAAACCTTCAAATGATTGGATGGCACTGGGTGTGCTACGGCAGTTGACATATATGGTGTGATGTAACAATAGGCTTCTGGGAGGAAGGACAAAAGAACACCCATGTTGCCTAAAAGATTCTTCAACACCATCCTAATCTGGAACTCCTTTTACAACGTTGTCTCAGGTCAACAAGAACAACAGTTGGCTATTTTGGATCCCTTCCTCATTGACTTCTGAGAAACGTGAATCTTTCATGGTATGCTACAAGAATTCTTATTGTCTTGCTCAGCCTCACCATTGTTTTTTTTTTTTTCTCAGAAAGACAAGCTTTGCAAAGAGCTGACATTCAATGCCTCCAATTAATTTTAAAGCTTAATGGATTGACACAGATTTTAAAGTTTGTTCAGTTACTACTTAGGGACTTTATTCTCTTATATAAGACGTTAATCAATTCCATTTATCTAAAGTACCTCTGTCAGCTCAAGGCAAATCACCCTTTTGTCAAAGTATAGTCTGCACACTTTTTGTGAGAAATCAGGTTTAACTTTTGCACACATTGTAGACGTTTTAATATGTCATTGCTTTAGACAGTCATATTAGTTGGAGGCATAAAAGAAGATGTGACAAATAATTCAGGTCTGTCTATAGACTGTGATAGACAGTCAACAGCTGGTCTTCTGTGCTGGGAGGCAAGGTCGTGGAGATCTGCTCGAATGTCACGGTCTGTCCTGCTGGACCTCAACCTCTTGCTCTTCTTGTTGACATCCCATTGTTTTTCCTCTATCCTTGAGTACAAAGATAACCATACTGCATTTTTCTCAGCTTCTTTACAGTCACTGCTGAGGACAGCTGTATACGTGGGCCTCTGCGGTGTGAGGGCTGAAGCAGCTGTTCTCAGTGCTGCAAATGTTGTGGTGTGAAAGTACTGCATCTTTTATTAGGAACCTTGGGATCTTTTAATGTAAGGATTAAGATCAACATGTGATCCTTTCAACATCATCAGTATCTAATGATGTTAGAACATGCATACTTATGAATTATATACTCTCCTGTTGTTTTAGTCAGTTGTCAGGATCCTAAAATATCACATTCATAGCACCCTTCTATGGTGTTCACTTGACCCAATTGTCACGCTAGGCTTTGAAGGTCACAGCATAGTATTGTTTTAAACCTTTTTATTTTATTTTATTATCCACAAGGTTTCCTGACTTGCAAACCTACATAAATTATATAAACATGGCAGACATAATACAAAGATTTAATCATTAACAAGTGAAACTAAAGTAAAGCAAAAAATAAATAAGGTGGCACGATTTAGGGGAAAAAATCCAATTGCGATTTTTCCGATAAAAATTTTGATTTTAAAATACGATTTTAAAAAAATCAGGTTTGCTGTGCTTGTTTGTAGGGCTGTGGACACAATTTTGTGATTATATATCATTATGGCTATAAAGTAATAATAATAATAATTACTAAATAAAAATCTAAAAATTAGCGAATAAAAAAAAATAAAAAAAAATCTATTGGAACAGTTCTCTTTGAAATAAAAATCAAGAATTTAAAAATTACAAATAATATTCTTTTTTTTATATATTACAACTGTATAATTACAACGGAAACACAAATATAAACACTATTGGATAATCAGCTGCTTGTGTGTGAGAACAATTAAATCACAGCATTTGTGATTTCATAATTGCACTAAGCCATATCTCGATTTTGGTTTTATGTAATGCAGCTAAAAGTAAATGTTCTTAACCTGCATAAACTGCTGTTTCCAACTTGTGTATATCAAAAATATGGCAAATAACTTTGCGCATAAATCAGATAACGTCCTATTATATATCCTAATAATCAATAAATATTTGTATACCAATATTTAGGGATGTATAAGGTTATCCCGACTGTTTGTTTTTCTTATTAACAGGTCTTGAAGGTCTTAACATCATAAAGCCAGTTGGACCCATTCATCACTAGGACAGGGTCAGTGATTATTTCTGGTTAGCATCTCAGTGTTGGGTCAAGCAGATGTTTTTTCAAGGTTTTGAGTTAAAAAAAAAAAAAAGGTGAAATTATTTGTGGCATGTTGCTTACATGATTTTAGTGGTTTGCACGAGGGCCTAATTAAGTCCTTCACACTGGATTATCAGGAGATCTGGAGAACTGTCACATCCTGTCTCTTTTCCTTTAGCTGCCAGGTCCATCTCTTGCTATGACGAGGTGGAACATTCCTATCCACACTCTTCCCTGAGACGGAGGCGGTTCATTCTCAGCTGTTTAGGCCCTTTGTCGTCTCAGCTCACCAAAGGGTCAATAACTTGACCCATTGTACTTCATGACCATTGAGCAGGCTATTAATGGAGACTGAGGGGTTCTGTTTGATTTACTTGGACAAGTGTCCAATAGATGTCACGTGATGCTTTTGCTCCTTTGATTGAGTTGCTTGTCATTTGTCCCTTATCCCTTGTTTGAGCCAGCTGAATCATGGAGACAGAGAATCAGAGAAAACAGGTATTAATATTTCCATGATCTATCTATCTATCTGAATTTTATTGTTCTTCACAATTAGGAAAATTGGCATGACTTTTGACCTCTGCTCTACAAATGTTTCTTTTTTCCTCACTCTCTTGACCCTGGTTTTTCTGCCCCCACTCAGCCACACACAAACCCTGTGCTCCCTGCTGGAGAAGATCCAACACATATCTGAAGCACAGATAAAGGTAATGCAAAGCAATGCTTTTTCATTTTGTTGTTTAGTTGCTCAGTGTTGTAATAGACAGGAAAAAAATTTAAGTTTCATATTTCATAAATACTGAATTAAACTGTTTATTAAACTAAAAACAACCACATGTTCATAGTATGTGAGAACCAATGAAGTAGTAAAATTAAATAAATTAATCATTACAAAATATATGTAATTTCATTTACATTGTCATTGGTTATGATTGTTTAAGGGTGAAATGACTGGACCATACTTCACACTAAAAAAGAATAATGTTTGCATTAAGAAATTGTAGTCTTTAAATTCCTAGTTGATTTCTGTAATGTGAAAAATATTGCTGTAATATAGGAAAGTTATTTAAAATGTAAAGTATGTTTTTAAAGTACAATCAAAATCTTTATCATTATAGTATCTGAACTGAATTTATTTTACACTGATGTATTCGGATGTTATCCAAATGAAGTCACCATTAGTTGATGAACTAATCATTTACAAAACATGACTATACATTCATAAATGATTAATACGTGACAATTAATACGTACAACAATTTACAAATGGTGTTGTAAGTTATCTAAAAAAAATTGTAAATCATGAAATAATCAAACAGATCATTAGTATATGGTTATTTTTGAACTAATCATTTGTTCATGATTAACCATTTTTATTAAGATAATGATACTAAAACAATTTAGTAAAAATGTATAAGTATTCAGCAATAAAGTACTTACAAACAATTTGCAAACTATTAGTTTATAGTTTATTCACATATATATATATGTATGTATTAATACCACATATGCCATTGTGTGTGTGTGTATTTAATATATTTGTAAACATTTTAATGGCATAATGAATGCCATTAATGTTAAATAAAGGTTAGTTTAAAGCACTTAATTAATGGCATTTTCACATTTTTCATGACCTAATCCAAAGTGAGAACCATTTATTCTTAATTACCAATTAACAATTCCTTTACTACGTGCTAATTAAACAATAATAATTGTGTTAATCACAGTGACAATGAATGGAGAGCTCACTATCTGTACATAGCCTATTAATATATTAACCATGTAGAGACTTAAATATATAAACTATAGTTTGTTAATAATTTGTAAGTATGTTATTACTGTATACTTATAATAAAGTGTTACCAAATTGTTTTAGTATTGTTATCTCAATAAACAATGGTTAAGGCCATCCTTAAAAATATTCTTGTTTGCCGTAACCCGACCGACCCTGTCAATTTAGGACCGACCCAATTTTTTTTTTTTTTTTCTCTTTTAGTCCGACCGACTTGCCGGTTGTAACTTGCGTTAAGACCGACTGATTTTTTTTTTACTCTTCAAACCACTAATACAAATCAATAAAATAATATTCATTATATTTTAGTATTGTGAATATAAATGCCTACATATAAACGAAGGCTACGTTCTTTCTTTTAAATAAAAACCCGTGGCGTCATCGTCATCAATGATTATGTTTAGGCCTACACCATTGGTTTACGCATGTCACACATGGCTTGTACGTTCGCTTCGTTTCATTCCCTGTTCGCGCTTGGTAATGATGGCTGCGGCTGCAGTAAATAAAATGTTCGCGGTCAACGTTCAAAGTCATACGGGTTCGGGCACCATAATACATCTAAAAAATGTATTAAAACATCTCGACACCGCTTTAACTTGGCATGAAGTTCTGGAAAAACTGTGCCCAGATCTTTTCCCCTCCCTTCTCCCCTCTAGTCTAACGGTGACCGTGTCGACTGACCTGAAGGAATCCACTAAAGTGTTGGTGGAGGGAACTCAAACTATTAAGGACGTGCTACAATTTGACCCTAAAATCAAAGTGGTTTCTTTTAAATTGAAATTTCAAAGTGAGCCGCCACCACCACCCAACAACATAAGGAATGCATTTTCCATCATGATGGGGCAGGCGAAGACCCCGAAGTACCCGGTCCTTCGCACCTGCAATAATGGTGAGTTTGCATTCTAGCAGAGCAGGCTTTTTGATTTGGAGCTAGCATGCATACTAGCCTACCTATAACGTTAAAAGCTAACTTCAATAGTGTTTGAGATGGAGAATTTTGAGATATGCTTGTGAAATAACATTACGTCAGTATGAGCCTACATTTAGGCGCTCTTTATTCGGAAAAATGCTATATTTATGGAGTTGTGCTATAGCCACCTTAAGAACTAGCTGCTTTGGCAGAGAAAGAAATAGGGCTGTCACTTTACTTTCGAAAATCGATTGCACAATCGATCGGACCAACCAACACAAGTTTCGAAAACGAAAATGTGGATTCGATTTTAACGGCCTTTTCTTTTTCTTTTTTTTTTTTTACCAAAAATGTGTTTTACATGGGACAGATCAATACAGTACACAGAACATGTAGGATGTTGGAAAATAACAATGTCTTTTCTGTTAACCAAATGCTTTTTAATATTCGCTATTACTTCAATGCAAGTGAACAAGCGCGCCGTATTTGTTGCCAAGTGACGTGTGTGTGTGTTCAAGTAAGCCAGAAATGCGCAGATTCTGCGCAATACGCTGTATTTAATATATCATGAGGACTCACGAGTTGCGTATTTGCGCTAAATCCGCGCAGATTTGGCTTACACGAACTTCCCCAGCAAAGTGAGTAAACATAGAAACACGCCGGATTGGTTAGTGATTTGACAGCGTTACCCGCCAAAGTTAATTTCTACCCGCATTTGGCGGGTTGGAGGGTGTTAATTTCAATCCTGAATGTTGCACTCCTGTTTGTCATTGTGCACGAAACTTCACGCCAATAAATCATCAGAAATATTGCTGACTTGTGCGCGTCTCAAGCGCCCTCTTTACGTTCGTCCTAATGCCTGTTAGGTGTCCGTGGATTTGCCTGTATTTGGCGAAAATGGAAACGTCTTTAGACATGGAAAATGATTTTACAATCGATTCAATGAACACTTATGTCTCAAAAATCGAACAAGATTTTTTCACAAAAGTGACAGCCCTATGTCATTATATAGACCAGTGCCCTAGCTCTGATTTGTAGGTTGCATTGACACCTAGCGGTGGATGCAAGTAAAACAGTTACACCATTGAAATTAAATATATATTTTTATAATATGATATTTTTTTTAGGGCTGTCAAATGATTAAACACGATTAATCACATCCAAAATAAAAGTTTTTTTTACATAATATATGTGGGTGCACTGTGTATAATTATTTTGTATATATATAAATACACACACATGCATGTATATTTAAGAAAAAAAAATTATTTATATATACAATATTTATATATAATATAAATTATATATAAATCTATATACAGTATATACATGAAAATATTTCTTAAATGTATACAAGCATGTGTGTGTATTTATATATATAAAATAATTATACACAGTGCACCCACATATATTATGTAAAAAAAACTTTTATTTTGGATGTGATTAATCGCGATTAATAATTTGACAGCCCTAATTTTTTTGTTTACTTTTCTGACAATACAGCATATTTAAAGCTATACATTTTAAGACAAGAATGTTGTGTTTTGTTACAGCTAAAGATCGGCTTTTTAATGATGTGGTCTCTGACATGAAGAGACAAGAAATAAAGTTCCCTGGAACAATGGCTGATGTCGAAATAAGCCGTTACGTGCTGGCACTCGTAAACACATTGTGGTATCTGGATGGTACAAAAGAAAAAATTCAAAGAAGAGCCGTGAACCAGTCTGGATCCATACACCATATTCCAGAAAGGTAATTAATGCAATCTAAATGAACAACTGCATAAATCAACAGCACAATTTTGATAGCAGGATTTTAAAGACCAGGAATACTGACCAGTTGAAATAGTGGAGTAAAGTTCATACATTTTTTTTTGGCAATGGTGGTTTGGTGAATGTATTAAGTTGGTCTGCCATACACTGCATTATGTTGTTGTGGTATTCTGTGTTTCAGGTTCATGAACAATTACAATGGGTACAATGACTACAAGAGAAAGAAAATCAAGGCACCACAACTGGACTCAGCATCACTCAAGACTCATGTTACAAGTTTGCAAACACTAATGGAACAGACATTTGTATCATTGTGGGGGGACTATGGCAAGGACCTGGAACATCTAGCAGTATCCATGAGTGAATATGCCCAATTCCTTGACCTTTCGTCAAAGGCTCAACAGGTTCGTCAGTCTCTGCCTCATCCAGTCAGACAACTGGCCGAAAATGTCCAAGTCCTGCACTTTGAGGGAGGACCAAAACAAACAATGTACTCCCTAATTGAGGACCTTGTGAACACCAAGGACTTTTACGAGCCCATCATTTTTGATGAATGTCAACATGCAGCGTCACCATTCAAGAACAGAACAGAACGGCAACTCTTTCTTGATGGATTCAATGCTGTGGGAGTGGCTGTTGACCAAATAAGGTATGTGTCGATCTAGAATATTTTTTTTTATATAGTGGTTGTGATGATCGAACTCAACATTGAAACATTGTGTTTGAAGTGTAGAAACTGTTTACTGCTTGTAGGTGTACCCATGTTCTCTGTTCTTGCCAATTTCAACAGCACTTGTTAAGTTACTTGTATTCAATGTTTTGGCATGATGAAGGGAGAATCTCCTTTAAAATGGGTATCTATCTTTTATCTTTTATACAGGTATGATCCTGGTGGCAATGTTGGGGGGGTTTGCATTTTTTGGAAAGTTCCAGCCATGAGAGAGGAGGAGGAGTCAATGACCAAGGCAGTCCAAATAATGAAAACAATGGAATCCAAGTTGCCAGTCTATCATACGCGAGCAATGCGCAAGGATTTCATCAAGACCGTATCATCAGCAACAAACATCTCAATGCCGAAACATGTTCTACGTCACATCTACGCTGAATACTTATACTATATCTACTATATCTGATGCATCAGCTGACCAAAACCCGGCTGTTGATGAACGAGTGAGACAGGCAATCTTAGGTGAGGACCCTGAACTTGTCACTGACCTTCGTCATCTAAATAAAGGCCGTCCCCAAGACACCTTTGACACTTTCTTTGATGAGCTGAACATGGAACTTGAGCAGATAACTGCAGCTGATGAACGACGTCATGGGGTCGCCCACCTGTCCGAATTCATCTCTGTGAGGGATCTGATTGAAAGAGTAGCCAAGAAGTGTCCACCAAACACTCCGATCCCCAGTGAGACCACTGTACTGTTTGCCTTTGTTCCCAAAAATGCTTACAGCAATGTGGCAAAGCTGTACAAAAGTAAGGTACAAATGAAATTTCAGGTCCAGACACGACAGCTACGGTCATCACACCCAGACGACCATTACTGCACAGCTCTCTTTAAGTACATGCGTTCTTTTGCAGTCAAGCACAGGGATTTAACAACGTTTCTCTGTGTAGATGATAAGTCCAAAATAAATTTCGGAGAACCAGGATTAGCCATGTCATCTGGAGTGCGGGGGAAAAAGTCCTTAGTAGCTTCAAGTGGTCTGCTCGGAGCCCTCGACCATGACCAGCAACAGAAAGGGTCATTGACTCCATCTGTGTACCTCAATGTTGAGATACCAGAGACTGTTGACGACTCCTTCTATAGGGGTCAGGTCACTGTGCTCCTGAAGGACTCCGTATTCCAGCCGAGCAGTGCCTTCCGGCACGCAACAGAGATGATGAGGCTTCTGGGAGATGACATGGACAAGGTGAAGCCCTTCTTGATAATTTATTCTGACGGAGGGCCTGACCACAGGGTTACCTATGAAGGTGTAAAACTGTCCCTGGCTGCTGTTTTCAGGGCGCTAGACTTAGACATTCTTGTGGCTGGGCGCACAGCGCCGGGACACAGCTGGGCGAATCCAGTGGAGCGAATCATGTCTGTTCTAAACCTTGCCTTCCAAAACATTGCTCTGTCCAGACAGGAATGCTCAGCAGAAGTTGAACAGGTGTTGAGAAGCTGTGGTGGGATGCAGGATATTCGAAAGAAAGCCGATATGGTGGGGAAGCTCAGAGATGAGTGGAGTGGATCTGTCAAATCTATAAAAGATTTACTGGAAGAGCGCATCACTCGTGTTCAGCTGAAAGGAAGGCCATTCACTATTCTGGAACCAGCATCTGATTTTGCAATCCATCAGAAACAGGCCGATATTATTGGCAAAATTGATGCTTCAATAGAGATTGGCAAGTACCACAAGAAAGACCTTGCAAATAAGGAAAACTACAAAACCTTCATGGCCAAACATAGTAGGGAGAGAAATTACATTGTGCAATTTCGCAAATGTGATGATCGTGCTTGTTGTAAGCCCTTGAGAAGCAGTGTTGAGGGAGACCTACCAGCTTGGATACCAGATCCTCTGCTTTCAGAAGATGGAGCCCACTTTCAGTCTTTTGATTCCTTGTTTGGACAAGAAACATCTGAAAAAGACATGCCAAGTGGAAGCAAGGAAACTCTGACATCTGTCGCAGAAACACAACAGGTATGCATTTAAAGAATTTGACACACTCCTGAGCTTTGTCATGTTATCTGCTGTTCTGTTTAGGTTTTTATTGATGTACAGTGTTGTGGTGGTGTTTGTTGCATGAAATCACGTAAGCAATCTTGCCATTTGTAAGCAAACTTTATTCTTGTTCTTTGGCTGTCAGGGATGCAAGAACAGTTTCCTTGTGGGACAGAATGCGCGAGCTACAATCCAGTGTTATGAGTGTGGAAAACCACGTTGCATCTATGCCAAGAAGTCACTGACAGTTCGTGATCAGCGGGCACTCCAGAGAATGCTCTTCAAGCATGTCTACAGCTGTGGTTCCATGTTGACCGTAGAAGGCAAGTCTGTCCATTTAGGTTTATCCAGAGGTGGTCTTTTATGACAGTTTTCAGTACATGGCTCTTAAAAACCAATTACAGGCGCTCTCTCTCTTTTATATATATATATATATATATATATATATATATATATAGGATCTCTGGAGAATAACGTAAAGGATAACAGTTAATAATGAAGGATATCCACTTGTCTTGTAGGTGAAGATTCCCTGCATGGGACAGTGTTCATCAGGTTGCAGCTGGTGTGTTCGACTCCAATAGAGTTTGCTTACTATGCCTCAGACAACCTGAAAGTTAGGAAGGATGTATGTGCATATTGTGCAGCACCTGGGGCAGAGAAGGACAAAGACCTTCTGGAGAGTTATAAAATTGTGTTGCCAGTCTGCTCCCAGTGCAAGCACAAGCCTGCACTGAAAAGGGCACCTTTTCCAAAGATGAAATAGTTTGGCCAGAGCAATGGTCGAAGGGATGTCGTGTTAACAGGGTTTATACACATTCCACGACATATTTGTTTTATGGATGTAAACATCCCAAATGTTACACATTATGTTTTCTCATATGTATTACATTGCATGTTAATGCAATTAACTGTTTGTGAATTCTAAAGTCATTTTAATTTATTTGTTTCACTTTCATTGAAATCTAGTGGCTTCTTTTTTTCTTGATTCTGATTAATATTTTTTTTTTCAAATGAATGAAGATGGAATTAATGCAATAAACATGTTTTTTGACAAAGATTACAAATTATTTGTGATCTATATAACCTGCATCAGAATGAGGTTTGCAAAGGTGAGCCCGAAGGCGCGTTTTGAAGACCTAGTCAGTGAAGTCACAATATGCAAAAAAAAAATTCATACCGACTTGACACCATGACCAAAATTTTACAATTTTTTTTTACATTGAATCTTGAAAAAAAAAAAATAGACCTACCTACCGACCCTATTATTATTTTTTTTGGCTGTTACTGCAAACCAAAATATTTTTAAGGATGGCCTAATTATAAACAAACCATTAGTAAATCATTAGTATATAATTTATTGATGTATTGTGATTCGTGAAGTTGTAAGCTGGTCTGTGTTCAAAAGCATGACTTATAGTCAAAGGATTCCAGTGGGTTATGTTAAATCCTTTCACTCATCAGCACAGACTTGTGTTCTGGTTGGAGTGTGTGGGATTTAGCGATAATGTGAACCTGTTTTACCTTCCACTGAAGCTCACATGCAGGTGCACAGGGGTTGAAGACTCCATGTGTGTCAGAGAAGACAGCTGTCTCTACCCTCCCTAGTCAGCACTTACATTGCAGTACAAACTACAGTGTTCAACACCTGTTATAGATTATGTGTAAATGCATGAATAAATCATAAACAAAGCTTTCTGCATGCACTGATCTAAAGTGTAACTATTCATCACTTGTAAATGTGTTAACTATCATTTGTAGATCTTTCTTACCTGTTACAAATTATGTGAATATGTATACAAGTCTTTTACAACATGCTTGCGAATGGCAAATTAAAAATGATGCAGCAAACCGCCATTTTAACAATATATTTTTAAAATGTATCACTTACCCTTATCTTGCTCACTTTTCCCCCCTATTTTCCTTTTCTCTGCACCAGATTGATAGTGCCACCTCCTCTTCATTTTTAAACAACGCACACGACTGGCACAAGAAACTTTATCAAACTTATTATTACCACGCATTACTGTCTGAACATCTGGTATGGGGCCCCCTGGTGGCCATGGGGGCCCTATGCAACCGCTTATATTTCTTATTAGGTAGGGCTGGCACTGCTTGCATGTTTGTGCTTTTGAACATAGTCCAGCTTACAACTTGAAAATACATCAAAAAATTATATTCTGATCATTTACTAATGGTTTGTTCATTTTTTTTTTCATTAAGTGATTAACCTGTTAGCTAGCAACCCCACTTTTGAAAAATCCCCAGAAATGGCATACCCAAACTAAAACAGAATACAGTTCATGAACCCTTTGCACTAAAAGCACAAGTATGATCTCATTTGAAAGCTGACATTTGGCAGTTTATTTTAAATTTATTAGTTATAATTTAAAATATAGTTATAACTATCTTCAAAGTTTTGTAAAGTTATTAGAAATTTATTTTTATGAAATATCTTCAAGAAAATAAAATTTAAGTTGGCATTGTATCAATCTAGAAATGCGCTGCAGCTAAAGCCACATGTCTGACCATGTTATATTTAAAATCTGAAGATAAGTCTAAAACTGTATTTAGTTTAATGTTTTTCAAGATCATGTCTATGACTTTATTTTGATTAGACTCTAAAATGCAAACTGTTGTTTATTGTCATCTTCTAGCATCTATTCAGTCTATTGTCTCTGCTGTTTTGTGGTGCAAACAAGCCCCATTCAGTGTCAGTCTCCCCTGCATACATTCACACACCTCCAGCCTGGTTATGGCTCTAAATATTCTTTGCTTTTGTTTTCATTATAATTACTAAGGACTGGCTATTCACACTGTTTCAATCCCTAATTTATTTTATCAAAGTTCTCACTTCACATTTGAAACTGTATCAAATGCCCTTCTTGAAAAAAGAAACATTTCAGTAAGCATTCCTTTTTAAAAATTTTAAATTCATAAAAATTACAGCTAGGTGGCAGGTGCATGTTAGGGCTAGCTAGCATGTTAGCTTAGTACACCATCACCATCCTGCTTTAAAACCATGTTTTTGCTCCAATATTACTTTATAACGCAAGTCAAGTGTTTTAAATAACCTTCTGTGATCTGATTTGGCTTTGGATAAAAAAATCAGACAGAAAATATATTATTTTATAGTATTCTGCACAATGATAAAGTCTATATCGATTAGCATTACATTATAAATATAATCTATTATTATGAAAATACGAAGAACACAGATAAATCATATATCGTCGCAATCATGTTTATTGTCTCCAAAACATCTTTATCTGCATATTACAGCGATCTCTGGAAGCTTTGTGTATGTAAAGGAGTTCCTGTAATGTCACATGATATGTCTCTTCTTCATGTGTTCCATATATGGACTAAATGTGCATAGGGCGCCCTCAGGCTGCCAGTATGGATTGAAAACACAGTACATCAGAGTATCCAGCGCTCATAATTATTACATCGGCCCATTTTGGGTATAAATTCAATAAATATTATTCCCCTCTATAGAAATCTGACGTAAACCTATGAGAATCTATCAATATTTCTCCAAATGTACACATTTTTGAGCTAAAAGTCCTGAGGGACATTGTTTTATCAAGCGCTGTCACGACAGCACAGAAGTTTTTTCTGAATAGGAGCAGCTGACGCTCATAATTCATATTAAAGATATCAACTCATTTTTTCATTACATAACTCCTTAGTCCTGACACAAATTAATACATAACTGTCACTATAAGTTTCTCAGAATAAAATAGTGGTCAAATACTGAAACTTGAGTCTTATATCTTTTTAATGATGCATAGTTTGTCAAGGTAATAACATTAAATCTGATAGTAACTTTGAACTATTTAAACAATGAACGATTCAGTGTGTCGGCATCCTCGTGCTGGCTAACAGGGTTTTTTTCCATTTATTGAAATTGTGGTTTATGTCAGTGGCATATGCGGAACACTTGTCAGAGAAGGCGACGTTTCTTGAGCACAATCCACACCCAGCGGTATTTCAGGAATTTATTTTTCCAAATGTGCCACGTGAAACATGGATTCGGTTTCCGACCTTTTACCATCGTGTCAGTTGATTTAGATTAATATGTGCGAGTGTATGGGAGAGAGAGCAAAGACCGTATTTAGTTTGAAGACAGAGAGTGTGAGCTTTTTGCTCGTTCTCACATATACAAAATTTATCTCACTAATGAATCCTTAACTTGAAATCAGTATGATAAACTTTATGCTAGTGCTGTCAAACGATTAAAATATTTAATCGCATTAATGGCATAGTTAACTTGCAATTAATCGCACATTTTTATCTATTCTAAATGTCTCTTGATTTCTTTTTGTCCCATTATTTTTTCTAATTTTATTGCTCTTATCAACATGGAAAAGTGGATCGGCTTGCTTTGTGCAAATGTTTTTTATTGAAAACAACACTGGCATATACTGTGTTCAATGTCACACTAACATTCTCACTTGGATCAAATAATCTCTCAATGTAACACTGTCCATCAATAAAAGGGTGAAAGAAATACTGATGAGGTCCTGATATTGACGACGGGGCGGAGAATTCGCATCAGCTGTGTGTGTGTGTGTGTGTGTGTGTGTGTGTGTGTGTGTGTGTGTGTGTGTGTGTGTGTGTGTGTGTGCTTGGCTATCGTGGTGTTTCAGACTGGACGTGCTGCGATCGCGATGATGATAGCTCAGTTCACAACGACAAAACACACAGATCACTTTGGTCTTGTCAATGGAGCCATTTGGCAACTTTTTAAAAGTAAACTTTCCATTCAGAATCTTATTGGCATCCATTTCGGCGTCTCGCGCTCGTCATCCACTCAAAACGTAACGTTAACCAACTATTTGGCCGGCTCGCAGACCTAAACAAATGTGTGCGGCGTCGTGCCTGTTGTTTTGTTTCCGGTCTAGCTGGATCCGCTTGCACTTTGGTCGACGAAGCAACAAAACGTCCCCGCGCTGCGCTATGAAACCCATTCATTTCAATGGCTTGCGCCCCGCGAGGACGTTTTGTTGCCGCGTCCTGCTGAAATCAATTGAGAGAGTGTCTTCATACAAGTACTTGGGCATATGGATAGATGATAAGCTCACCTTCAATGAACATATTACTGCTTTAGTCAAGAAACTTAAAGTCAAGCTCGGCTTCTATTTCAGAAACAAATCTTGTTTTACTTTTAGTGCTAAGAAGAAACTTGTGGAAGCTACTTTTCTGTCTGTAATTGATTATGGAGATATATTGTACATGCATGCTGCATCCTCCATCTTGCGTCATGTTGATTCAGTTTACCATGCATCACTACGATTCATAACAAATACAAAGTCTCTTACCCATCACTGCATTCTTTATGATTTAGTTGGTTGGACATCACTTAAATTTCGTAGACAACAGCACTGGTATATCTTTATTTATAAAGCTATACTTAGCAAACTTCCACTGTACCTCTGTAACCTCCTCTCTGTTCGCTCTGGTACCTATCAGCTACGCTCCTCAAAGTGGTTGCTTTTTAACGTGCCACGAGTTACAACCGATTTGGGAAGAACTGCTTTCTCTTATTTAGCACCATGGGGGTGGAATAATCTACAAAAAGAGCTAAGGTTAGAAACCCTTATGAATTTAAAACTACTGTAAAGAGTGTTGTGATGGAGACATGTTCTTGTTTTTCTTAAGAGTCATTGTGTTCTTTTGTACTACTTTTATCATGAAAATGTAATTTGGTGTTTGTTATGTATGCATTTGTTGTGATTTGGCTGCTACCTTGGCCAGGTCTCTCTTGTAAAAGAGATTCTGAATCTCAATGGGACCTCCTGGTTAAATAAAGGTATAAAAAATGTAAAAAAGCATGTGAAAAAAACTACAAAGTTTGTTGGGCCAAAAAGACCGTTAATCGCACGATAAAAAAATTAACGCCGTTAAAATGGGTTTGCGTTAACGCCGTTAATAACGCGTTTAACTGACAGCCCTACTTTATGCCTTTTACAAAGAAAGATTACACTTGAAATATTGTTAAAATTGAAATTGTTGTTGATTTTACCTGTGAAAACTTTTAGAAATATATAGATCTAGGTTATAATAAGCCTTCTCATTAAATTATTTATTATTGTGTTTCGTTAGTGACAAATTGGGGGGAGAAAAAATATTCCATACAGTATAAACACCTTGTTTGTTTGTATGGTTGACCCTACTTCAAATGACAATTTAAGAACATTAGAGTTTAGTTTGAATTAGATCTTACACTAGACTAGTCTGTGGCACATAGAGTACATTCAGGCAACTGACTTACTGTTGTGTTCAGGATCATGTTGGGATATTGCAATGTCTACATTGTTAAAAAAAAGGCAAAAGAGGATGAGGTATTCATTTTCATGTTTGGTTTATTCTACAGAACTACAGAAGAGATTGTCACAGCAATCAATGTTTAGAGAGATCCATCTAATATTTTCACTCTTCATCAGCCCCCTTCTGTTAGGAAGAAAAAGGAAAAAAAATGTTAAAGGTAAGCTGATCCAGTTAAAAATCAAACTCTACACCGCTAATCAATATTGATGGTATTTTATTTTTCAATACACACTTAAATATTAAAATGCATTTCATTAAGTGTAGTTGTTGAAACTACTTGCTATTCATATCCTAAAGTCACTAAAAAGTGCTGATCTACTGTAACTAGGGGTGTAACGATTCATTCGTTTTCTCGATGCATCGATTACAAATCCTGACGATGCATATGCATCGATCTTGAAACATGTATTTCGAATCGTGAATCGTTTATTTCGGTCAATATTCGATTTAAAATGCTAAGAATCGAATAATTTGCGATTCTATATCGATTCAGTGCTTTAAAACATATAAACATTAAATGACTATATGCGCGAATTAATGAGGCGTTGTGCGGCGTCATTTCGCGTCCTCACAGCTCTCACATACTCGCTGCACTCTTACCATCTTTCACTGGATTTCGCTCGCGCTCGGTCCCATATAGCTCTCATCTACAGATTTTTGAGCAGTCCGTGTTTGAGCTCTCCTCAGGACAGGTGTTCACATGAGCAGATGACAGCTCTCTATCGAGAAAGCAAGCCATCGATAAAGCTGTCATTGCGCGGTCACTGCTATGAAACAACGCGTTCGTTGCGTGGAAACGTCACCGTTATTTTCTTTAAGATAAGATACTGAAGTTTTACGGAAATGGGTCATACCCGTCCTGAGCAGTTAAAGTAAAACCCCACTTATTCAAGGGTGCGCATTTATTACATGGAAAGAGAAAACGTATAATAGGTGTCTAAAATGCACACGCTTCCAATTAATCATGAATGATGAATGAAATGTAACTTAATGTCGTTAAACTGAACTGATGAAATAACTACAACATTAATTACACTGAAATAAGAGCGCGTGGTTTATCCATCAATCAGATGCGCATTAAAGTTGCATTCGTAATCGTTAATATAGCACAAGTAGACAGCCGGCGCGTTTTCTTTCAGAATCACAAGGACAATCAGTCGAGTAGCTATTCCATGAGGAAACGTTAGTTAAGGTTTAGTTGGGATGGGAAAGTTCATGGTATTTTTAGTCTCACAATGGAGGATGTTTAATGTACCAGGAACACTTTAAGGTTGTGTATCCATTCCTACAAAATAGTTTGCATGATGAACTAACTATTTTAAAGCCTTTTTAAATCTTGGTTTACATTTTTACAAATGCTAATTTATAGGCTTTGGAAATATTTTTTATAATAATAGATTCATTAAAAACTAACATGGACTAACGTTAACAATAGACAAAATGTCGTTTTTTTTCTCCACTCTCTGACCCCAGAAGGCAGCTGTATAATTCACACCCTGACTAAGACCCATAGGGGGAAGCATTTAAATAATCCTATGAATGCATATAAAAAATTAAGAATCGAATCGAATTAATCGAATCGCATCGAATTTTAATGTGAATCGCATTGAATCGAATCTTTCTGAATTTGCAAAAAATCGTTCTTGAATCGAATCGAAAACCTATGAATCGTGAATCGAATCGATTCGCTGCCTACCCAAAGATTCACAGCCCTAACTGTAACTATTTACTTGAGGGTTTTTTTTGTGTGTGTGACCAAAATCACTTGTTTTAAGTGCCTACTCTTACTTTATTTGATCCTGTATCACGAGTCTTGGCTCTCAGCTTGTTGACCTGAGATTCAGCAATATCAGCCCTCTCCTCTGCCTCATCCAGCTCATGCTGTATCTTACGGAACTTGCCCAGATTGGAATTGGATTGTTCTTCCTAAAGATTACACACAACAGCATTTGTGAAAATCAAAAGATGCAATTTCTACAAAAGTCGTATCATATGATGGCACCAGTGGGGGAAAATACTCACCGCCACCTCAGCAGATCTCTTGTAGGATTTGACCTTCAGCTGGAGTTTGTCCACCAGATCCTGCAGGCGAGCCAGATTCTTTCGGTCTTCCTCAGTCTATGCAAAGCAACAAAAAAAATGAGTATATGCAATATACATTTAAATACTGTAAGACAGCACTTTATGTATTGTTAACAAATAACATGATCAAATCAAGTAGGGGCAAAATTGTTAGTAGGCAACGTTTTTCCTACCTGGTAGGTGAGCTCCTTGATACGTCTCTCATATTTACGAATCCCCTTGACCGAGTCACTGGCCTTTCTCTGTTCTATCTCCACCTCACTTTCCAGCTCTCTCACCTAACAGATGTGTAACAATTTTATTATGCAAATTTAAAATCTTAGAATAAGCAATTTTACAGAAACAACTGAATACTTGTTTCTAAAAACTTACTCTGGCTTCCAGTTTCTGGACCTGCTTCTTGCCTCCCTTCATGGCGATCTGCTCAGCCTCATCCAGACGGTGCTGCAGGTCCTTGATGGTCTGCTCCATGTTCTTCTTCATGCGCTCCAGATGAGCACTGGTGTCCTGCTCCTTCTTCAGCTCCTCTGCCATCATGGCAGCATCAGTGATGGCCTTTTTGGCTTTTTCCTCAGCATTCCTGCACTCCTGCACTGCCTCCTCAAACTCAGTCTGAAGCTGAGTATTATCTCCCTCCAGCTTCTTCTTCTGATTCAGCAGGCTGGTGTTCTGAACATGGACAATATTGACATTCATTGACATTCATTGACATTCATTTTGCATAGTATTAGTACAGATGTGTCATACCTGGGCATGCAGGAGCTGAACTCTCTCACTGACATCCAGCAGTTCCTGCTCAGCCAGTTTCCTTCCTCTCTCAGTTTGTTCCACCATGGATCTCAACTCATCCAGTTCAGCCTGCAGCAGATTGTTGCGTCTCTCCACAATGGCGAAGTTCTCTTTGAGATCATCATTACCACGAAGAGCGTCATCTAGTTGCAGTTGGGCATCCTGTAAAGTACAAGTTTTACAAATAAAAAGACTGAAGAACTATGTTGGATTTCACCAAAGCATTATAAAATCTTGATTTGAAGATTCGTCATACTTTGAGATGTCCATGAAGACCCTTGAGTTGCTTCTGGGCTTCTGATGCCTGTCTGTTAGCCTGGCTGAGCTGAATCTCCATCTCATTGAGGTCTCCCTCCATCTTCTTCTTCAGTCTGAGAGCTTCATTCCTGCTGCGAGTCTCTGATTCCAGTGAGCTTTGCAGGGTATCCACCACTCTCTGCTGGTTCCTCTTGGCCTGCTCCATCTCTTCATCTTTCTCTGTCAGCTTACGTTCAATATCAGCTTTGACCTGATTGAACTCCAGCTGAGCTCTAAGTATCTTGCCTTCCTCGTGTTCAAGGGAACCCTATGAAGAGTAAAATGGGTGTTTGTTACAATTGAGATTTAAAGTTTTTGTTTAGCCCTGTGTTTTGGGGTGGGAGGTGACCTCCCTTAAAATAATCTGGAATGATCAATTGCTTTAAACAACAGCTTGATTTAAATCAAAGAGTTGTCAAATGAATACGATTTTTTTGGGAAAATGGTTGTTCTTTTACCTCAGCCTCTTCGAGAGCAGTTTGTATCTCTTGTTTCTCCTGCTCCAGTTGTTTTCGCAGTTTCTCCAGCTCATGAATATTCTTCCCACTCTCACCAAGTTGCTCAGTGAGGTCAGAAATTTCCTCTGGGCAATAGAAATAACATGTAAGCACCCTATACAAGCAATTAAAGTAATGGCTTGGAGTTGTAAAACCACTCTTACCTTGGAGATTCTTGTTCTCCCTCTTCATGCTCTCCAGGTGGTCCAATGACTCCTCATACGAGTTTTTCAATTTAAAGAGTTCAGTGCTTAGAGATCTAGCTTCTTTTTGGGCACTTTCCAGTTCAGTTTGGGACTCCTCATACTTCTGCTTCCACTCAGCCAGGACCTGGTTAAATTTAACAGGGCCAATTGGTCAATGAGAGCAGTGCAGTTTGCTGGTATTTTGTTTTGTAAATATATGGCTAATTTTTCCAGCTAATCACAAAATGTTCTTTCTCTCCTTACTTTATCAAAGTTTCTTTGCTTCTTGTCCAGAGCAGCAGCAGCAGCATTGGATCTCTCCACATCCACCATGAGATCTTCAATCTCATTCTGCAGCCTGTGCTTGGTCTTTTCCAGAGAGGAGCATTTAGCATTAACAGCTTCCACAGCTTCTTCTGCATCTTGCAGACGCTGAGTCAGCTTTTTCCTGTAATAATCAAAATACAAAATATTGTGAACATCAGAAGCATCATTCATTAAAATGTATTAAAATGTGTTTTATAGGCCACAAACTATAGCAGAATTTTTTCAAAAGTGTCCAATCACTAAAGACAAAACTTTTAAATGTTGTTTATTTCTTACTTTGCTTCCTCCAGCTCCTCAGTCCTCTGGATGGCATCAGTTTCATACTTGGTTCTCCACTGAGCCACTTCAGAGTTTGCCTTGGACAGACTACGCTGCAGTTCAGCCTTGGCTTCTTGCTCCTCTTCATATTGCTCCCTCAGCAGATCAGCATCATGACGAGCAGACTGAACTGCATGGGCCAGGGCATTCTTAGCCTGAAGACAAACAATAACAAACAAATATTTGCGGCCAGTTCTTTATTACAGTTGTGCATTTTTATGTCTTTAGGAAACATTTTAGATATTGAATGAGATTTTGAAAACCTTGATTTCTTCTTCGAGCTGTCTCTTGAGGTCTTCAATTTGCTGAGTGTTGGATTGTTTGCCTCTGGTTAACTGAGTCACCAGGGAGTCTTTCTCCTCAAACTGTCTGGCAAGTTCACCTAAAATACAATATTATTTTTTTCTTTTTTTTTCTCCAATTATCATTATGGTACAGTGTGGTAACATATCAATATTTTGTGTTCTTACCATTTTCAGTTTGCAGCTTGGCTTTCTGCATGGTGAAATCATTGATTGTGCGCTGACCTTCCTCAGCCTTGGTTCTGTACTCACTCATCTGGTCTTCCAGAGTTCTGCACATTTTCTCCAGGTTTGCCTTGAGGATAAATTATATCGTAGTTGATTGCTTTCTTTGACTGACAACACATACATTATAGACTCACCATCATTTATCTCGCTCACCTTTGCCTTTGCAAGCTGCTCCATGTTGGAGACCACATCGTCCAGTTCCAGTCTGAGTTCACTCTTCTCTTTCTCCAGCTTCTGCTTCACTCTCTGGAGGTTGTCAATCTGCTCCCCCAGATCAGCCACACTGTCTGCATGTTTCTTCCTCAGTGCAGCCGCAGTGGACTCATGTTGTAGAGTGGCCTCTTCAAGGTCTCTGCGCAGTTTCTGGAACTCAGCTTCACGTTTCTTGTTCATCTCAATCTGGGCAGCAGTGGCTCCACCAGCCTCCTCCAACCTCTCACTGATGTCCTCCAGTTCTCTGGACAGATCAGCTCTCTGTTTCTCAACTTTAGCACGGGCAGCTCTCTCAGCCTCTAGTTCTTCCTCAAGCTCTTCAATTCGGGCCTGGAAATGTGCATAAATTCAAAATTAAGGTTAAAATTCCTAACTATCCTATCTTAAGACATATATAAAGTTTACCTGCAACTCTTTCAGTTTTTTCTGGAGTTGGCACTCCAAAGCTTGTCCGTCTTCAATCTTGCTATTGAGCTGGCTTATTTCAAAGTCTTTTCTGCCAAGTAAACAGGATGACGCATGAATGATTACATGCTTAATTGAATTAAAATATCAGGTAACACTTTACAATAGGATTCCATTAGTTAACGTTAGATAATGAATTGAACAACATTAACTAACAATGAACATTACATTTGTTACAGTATTTATTAAACTTTGTGAGCAATAATTAATAAAAAATAAACTTTTCATTGTTAGTTTGTTATTAGCTCAGGCCCATTTAATAAAATTAACATTATTAACAATATTAAATTTGATTTTAATAATGTTACTACATGTTTAAATTTACATTAACTAAGATTAATAAATGCTTAGAAGTATTTTTCATTATTAGTTAACTACATAATTTAACAAACTAAAGTCAAATGGAACCTTATTGTAAAGTGTTACCAAAGATCTTTTAATATTAAAATTGTATTTAAAAAAAAATATATATATATTACTTCTTTAGCCGCTCTTCCGCCTGCTGCTTATCATTTTCCAAATCCATCACATTCTCTTGAGTCAACTTCAAGTCACCCTCAAGCTTTCTTTTAGCTCTCTCAAGATCCATGCGAATTTTCTTTTCTTGTTCCAGAGAACCTTCAAGCTAAATTTCATCCAAAGAATATAAAAATAATTATGCAATTAATTAAATAGCTTCTCATTTTAATTCTAGTGTTATGTTTTCTGACTCTTACATCATCCACTTGTTGCTCCAGTTTGGTTTTTGCTTTGGTGAGTGTGTTGACTTTGTCTTCCTCACTCTGGAGGTCATCCAGCGTTTGCTGATGGGCCTCCTGAAGAGCTTTCTTCTCCTTGGTCAGCTTAGCGATGATCTCATCCAAAGCTGCCATCTCTTCTGTCAGGTTTTTAACCTGTAGAAATGTGTCATTGTATCAACAGACTCTTAACACACAATTCTAACATCACTAACAGGTTTAGTGCTGAAAACTGACCTTGTTCTCAGTGGCATGTTTCTCTTTCTCCACTTTGGCCAGAGTGAGCTCAAGATCATCAATGTCCTTCTTGAGCTCAGAGCATTCATCCTCCAGCTTTCGTTTCTTTGCAGTCAGCTCAGCATTCATTTCATCTTCATCCTCCAGTCTCTCCGTCATTTCTTTGACTTTGGCCTCAAGCTGGATCTTGCTCTTGATCAGACCCTCACATCTCTCCTCAGCATCTGTAAGATTATCTTGCTCCTATCAACATGAAAAAAAATGTGAAAACTTGTTTTGTTTTCTGACTTGTTTCAAATGTGAAAAGTGCAGAGTTGTAGTCCCATGTGAACTTACAGACTGTGCTAAAAGCTGCAGGTCATTCTTTTCTTGGATAAGAGAAACCATCTTTTCCTCAAGCTCCTTTCTGCGGGCTTCAGATTTGGCATAAGCCTCCTTCAACTTGGTGAATTCCTCCTTCATGTTGGCCATTTCTTTCTCGGACTCTGCACTTTTCAGCAGAGGCTTGATCTTGAAGTAGAGCTTCATCCAGGGCCAATTCTTGACACCCATGAAAGCACGTACATTCCACTGAATCACCAACAGAGAATCTCTGTAGATATTAAATAAGAATGTTCAGTCTTGCATTTTAAATGTAACTTGGAGAATATGTTAAAGATTGAACAGCTAAAATCTAACCTTCTTTCCACAATTTTCTGGAACTCATCTCTTGATAGAAAACCACGAGACATGGACTGAATTCCAGTTATAATAAGTGCAAGACGGTCATCTCGCATCTCTTCAAGAGCACCCAGAAGACCAGCCTTAAAAAAGACCTGAATAGTAAAGAATTTTGGGTCAAAAAGGATGACCGTGGAAAAGTGGCTTTGGAAAAATTTAATGATAATATAAAAATACCTTAGTATGTCCTAACTTGTACTGTTCGTGATCGATGTCCAGAGAGCCCAGAAGTTTTTCTGCACCCTTCTTGTTATCAATGAACTGTCCCTCAGGGATAGCAGCAGGATTTAGGATGCGGTATCTACACAAAATACAACACACATTAACTATTGTTTTATATGTATGTTTCTTAATTGTGCAAACAGAGAGTTGAAACTTGCAATAACTTAAACCCGTGTTAAGTTATTCTTAAGTGCTTTGTTCTAATCGCGAAATACAATTGTGTCTGTAAACCGCAAAAAGACTGTTTAAATATGAATCGCATGTCTGTGTGTGAATGAATGAACTGCACAGCTGCGTGCCGTTGTTTGCTACAGAACAGCTTGCATCTTTGCCTTATAAGCAACGTATTAAACTGCAAATTAACATTTATATGCTCATATATCATAAAAACGATATGTTACAGATGAAATATAAATGTTTAGACAAGATTTCGTTGATTCGTTTTGGATAGATTATAAAGTTTTTACTGTAAAAAAGACTACTGTCACATCAAATAAGTACTGTTGTTGTAAAATAATTGTTGTTGATTTACATGTGAAAACTTTTTAATAAAATAGCAAAAAATATATTTACAAGGTAGATGTAAGCAACATCTTAATAGGTCAATATAAGCCTTCTCATTAAATTATTTATTATTGTTTTTTATTAGTGACACATTTGGGGAGAGGATATATTCCAAAACTTTCTGAAAATACAGTATGAGAATTAACTGGATAGTTGCTAGAAATGTTTACCTGGGATATTATACAATTTTCATGCATACAAAATAAGTCCTCACATTCTTTCTTGTGGTACCCAGTGACACACCTGAATGAAAGGCTCATTATGCAGTTCATTATGCGGGTCATTGTCTTCTCAGGTGTGAATCAGAGCATTATTCATGATCTTTCACGCCCCCACGCATATTGCCTTTCCAAACAAAACGTGTCTTACAAAGTTTAAATCAATGTATTGTTTTATGTGAATGATTAGGAAGGATGATTTTCAGATCATTTTGAAGCAAAAACTCTAGGCGACAACATCCATTAGTCAAAAGTCTTGTGGACACATATTTAGTATGTGTTTTGTGGCCTTATTTCAGAAACTTTAATTTTTAGCTTTTTCAATAACCATGCATAAACATTATTCTCTCAAAAATACAAACATGTACATACATGTTCTCACATATTATGGTAGCCCTGTTTGTGCTAAATAGAGTGTAATTACACCTTTACCATTAATATGTTTATAAGCAATAGGGATGTGACAGTGAGGATATTTTCCCACCGGTTAATCGACCTGTGATAATACCGGTATCACCGGCGTGGGCTTTTAAATCGCTAATTTAAAGGCAAACGTAAAATGTGCGCGTCTGCACAGGCATTCATAATGGTGCGGTCTGTTCTGCTCGCTCCGCACCCGTTGACACGTGTGGCCGTGCACATTTTAGTTTCGTTTTCAAATTAGCGCCAATGCGGGGCGGATTACTTGAATGGTCAGTTCATTAGCCTATTATTCTTAATGGAAAACACAATTCGCTTAAATAGGCGCTTTTACATTTCGCTTTGACACCAAATATTCCGCAGTCACCTTGTCAGTCAGCTCCTTTTGCTGATCTGTGCGGCGACTCTCGTTCGGCTCACCATTTATTAACCAGACATGTTCAGTTTAATAGTGTCTGTTCTCTAACTGAACTAAATGATTTTATAAAAAATAAATCAAATCGACAGTGGGGGGGCGGTGCCGCGGTGGGCAAGAGATGTAACCGGTATTGCTTCTGAACACCGGTAACACCGACTATCGTAGCAAGCCTAATAAGCAACTGAAAAAAGCACAAATGTCAGGGCATGTCAAAACATCTCAAGGACCCCAAAAATACCTTAGACCCACACCAGAGGGTTAAAATTTATACATAAAGTTATTTTGTAAGGCATTAAAGCCATTTTGTTTCATACCAGCGTCCAGAAGAGATCAGATGTGTTCTATCAGTAGTCACATTCAAATTCGAATACTTTGAATTACCATTGTGTATGATGTGTCCTATATAAATAAACTTGCCTTGCCTTGCCTTCATACTAACCGTTGTTTGAAATCTCCATACAGGATCCTGTTGGGGAATCCCTTTCTGCAGATCCTGATGCCCTCCAGCACACCGTTACAGCGCAGCTGGTGCATGACCAGAGGATTCTCCATCGCCCCAGGAGTCTTGCTCTCATTGGGGATGAGGCAGCGCACAAAGTGAGGGTGAGTTGACCTCAAGTTGGTCATCAGCTTGTTCAAGTTCTCCTGTTGGTAGACCACAGAGGATTTAGATTAATTGCAAAAAAAACTTGTGAGACAATATAGTATTATTATATTCCTTACCCTATGAAGGGCTGACACCGTCTGGAAGGAAGAACCCTTCTTTTTGCTACCTTTGGCAGCCTTTCCTCCAGAATCCGCAGCTGTGAAATAAATGATTTTTGTTATTATTAAACAGTAAAAAGTGCTTATTATATTTTCATGTCACACGTCAGTGTGTGCTTACCTGAGTCATCAGTAGCGAAATTAGCAAACAGAACAGGCAACAGCTTAAGAGTTGACTTCTGGAAAAACCCTACAACCGTCTCATTGAGAGGGTCTTTGTTCTTCACCAGCCAGTTTGAAATGTTGTAGTCCACAGTACCAGCATAGTGAACGAGGCCAAAATGGGCCTCTGGTTTACCCTTGATTATCCTAGGCTTCTGGAAGTTTGGATTTTTCCCCATATGGTTGTCATAAAGCTTAGCTTTAAATGTTGCATCACTGGCTTTCGGGAACATGCACTCCTCTTCAAGGATGGACATGATACCCATGGGCTACAATGACAGTGACAGAGTTAACAAGAGTTAAGACTGAAAAATATGATTTTTACCCTCACAGTATAATTATCAACATAGTATTCACCCACCTTCTCAATAAGCTCAATACATGCTGCCAAGTCCATGCCGAAGTCAATAAACACCCACTCAATGCCCTCCTTCTTGTATTCCTCTTGCTCCAGCACAAACATGTGGTGGTTGAAGAACTGCTGCAACTTCTCATTAGTGAAGTTGATGCACAGCTGCTCAAAGGTGTTGGACTGCAGGTGGAATATATTGTATAATCACAATGGTCAAACAGGTTGCACTACTTGTTGAATTTGTTTTATGAATAAAAAGAATCAGTGTATTTCAGCTTACATCAAAGATCTCAAATCCAGCAATGTCCAGCACACCAATGAAATACTGGCGAGGCTGTTTGGTGGCCAGGGATTGGTTGATTCTCACAACCATCCAGAGGAACATCTTCTCGTACACTGACTTTGCCAGAGCACCAATAGAGTAGTACACCTAATTAAGAAAATAATGAATTTTGCCGAATTTGACAAACTGGAGAGCGATTTTTCAGATACATGAAAGATTTTGTTTGTATGTCTTGGAAAGGGAACCTATGATGCTAAAAACTCATTATATTATTATTTTCATTCATTACCTGCTGGACACTCTGTCCCTTAGTGACCCACTCATTTCCTACTTTGACTCTTGGGTGGCACAAACCCTTGATCAAGTCAGCTGAATTTAGGCCCATCAGATATGAGATTTTGTCAGCATCTACATGTTAAAAAAGAATTCAGAGCTTTGACCCTATATACAACATGTCTTAGACTTTTTTCCCTTCTGAAGCTGAGATTCCAATTTATACTGACCCTCAGTCCCATCAGCCTCGGCCTGTTCCTCTCTTTGCTTCTGTTTGAACTTCATGTTGCCAAAGTGCATGACGGAACCAGTCAGCTTGTAAATGCTGTTCTGCTCTTCCTGGGTGAAGCCCAACACATCGAACGCTTCCTACAGTAAATGTACAGAGCATGTAAAATATCATGGCAAATGTTTCATATTCTACTTTTTGACAAGTACATTAGAAGTCTTTCTTTTTAAAGAATAGACTGGCCAAGAGAGTCGGTTATTCTCTTTCAAGGCATTCTATACATGTATGACTTAATTTCTTATGTGGAAGACAAAATGAAAAACAAAGGTTATTTTCCTTACATCACATGGCTTCAGAAAACAAGTTGTGTGGATCTTTGATGGTGCTTTTTCATACTCATTGACAGCCCCTGATCATTATATGCTTTTATTGTATGGAAACCAGTCAAGACATTATCAATTGGTGTTCCACAGCAGAAATGCAGTCATACGGGTTGTCAAAGGTGTTGTTCTTGTATTATAAACGGCCTATGTTTTAACAAACACCCACATCAGTGGCCTGCAGCTCGTCACCGTCATCAATAGATGCCACTTGTGTTTCTCCTTGGGAGATAAAGGCGTAGTCATAGGGGTTGTTGGTGATGAGCAGCATCTCTAAGGAGAAATGGCAACATAGATCAGAAAAGACTCTTCTAATTAGAGATGGCAATGTTAATAGATATGATGGGTAATTTTACCCAGCAGTTCTGGTCTTCTCTGGGACAGAATCTGATAGAAGATGTGGTAGTCTCTCTCAGCCTTGAGCTGAAAAGTGACACGAGACTTCTCCAGCAGATCTAAATGAATTGATAAATAGATGAATATCAAAACAGTTACACATTTAATCGTGTGATTTGTTGGAATGATGTTGGGCAGTACTTACAAGTCTCAATGTCAGCAGAAGCTAACTTTCCACTGTGGCCAAAATGTATACGGATAAATTTACCCTGTAAATAAAGCAATACATAACACGCTCATATAACATATCATGAAAACCAATATAGAATAACAACACCAATGTAAAAACCCAACTTACAAATCTGGAGGAGTTGTCATTTCTGATGGTCTTGGCGTTACCGAAAGCCTCCAGAGCAGGATTACACTGGATGATTTGATCCTCCAGAGTACCCTGAGAATCATATTTTAACAATAGGTGTGTAAAACAATTGATGTACCTACTTTTCAGTTAACAGCCATGCATATATTCAGACGCTATATAGTGTTTTTTGTTTACGTGTTTGCTTATATTGCAGTATGGTAAGTAAGGGAGTATCAAATTAGGACAATTTGTGACTTTAATATCTAATAAACGAAGACCATTAATTTAGTAAAAAAAAAATTGTATGCTATGTTATATGGAAGGTATATTCATTCATCTATAATAAGCCATTTTTTGGAAATTAAGCACCTTTTTCTCCATTGATGGATCCTTCTTGCCAGTTGATCCTGCTGCAATGCTCGCAAAGTACTGGATTACTTTTTTAGTGTTCACAGTCTTTCCAGCACCGGATTCTCCACTTAAAATAAAAACAGTTCATTAAATGTCTGATAAAATGCAGCATAGAAAATATTGGTAAAAGGATGAGTATTTTGGTACGTCATAATATGTATTACATACGTGATCAGGACAGACTGGTTTTCTCTGTCTGTGAGAAAATAAAACATAAGAAACTTAGCATTTGAGATTGCATTAGAAATCAACAAAAGATTACAAGGCAGATCATCACCTGACAGCATGTACTGGTAGGCATTGTCTGAGATGGAGAAGATGTGTGGAGGGGCCTCATTTCGTTTCTTTCCTCTATAGGCATTGACGACTTCCTGGTTGTACACTGGCAAAAACTTGTAGGGGTTCACAGTGACACAGAAGAGCCCAGAGTAGGTCTGTAAGAGATTCACAGAAGGTTTAGATCTGCTCATGCAAGATAAAGAGAATTTGTGAGTGTTTTAAGACTCGACTCACGTAGATCATCCAGGCTGCGTAACGCTCTTTGAGGTTAAACAGCACAGCGGGCTCGTGCAGGAAGGTGAACATCACCATGTCCTCAATTTTATCAAACTTTGGCGGGTTCTGGGGGTGAATATCAACCTCCTTCACAATTACTGTCTGTGGATAACACACAAAAATGTTTTGACAGTCACTCTGTACTTCTGTCTACAGTCTACAACAATGCAGAGATTAGATCTTACCTTCCCGAATTCAGTGTCAACAGTGACTTTGTCACCGTCTCTACTGGTGATGGAGGCCTTGACGTACTCAACCGCAGGGTCGGGCACAAAGCATTCTTTCTTCATGTCAAAGGGGCGAGTTTGGGCCTCCAGACGCTCCTTGTCTGACTTTCGTAAGAACGGGGCAGCTGCCCCGAACTCTGACATCACATCCACCATCTTTCAATCAGACTGAGGCATAGATGACAAAATTCTTAGAACTTGTAAAACTTGTTTACAATTAAAAGATCTATTGTAAAAAAAATAAAATTTGATTATTTATAAATATACAATATTTCTAATTATTTATTGGTCTTTCAACCAGTTATTTCGTTGACGAAAATAATGACGAAAATTATTCGTCAACGACATTTTTTCACAGACGAAAACGAGACGATAACTAAATAAAACCTAGTTTTGAATGACAAAAACTATGACGAAAATCTATTGACATTTTCGTCAACGAACTAAAACTAGACGAAAATGTTAGATAGTGACGATTTGGGAAGCGATCCAGTCAGAACTGATGTCCTGCGTTTGTGGTAGATGCGCACATTTGTACTGTAACGTGCTGATCTACCCAGCGGTCTCATAAAACGTTAAAAAATTAAAAAAATGTGCCGATGCAAAAAGAGCTCTATTCGGTACGGTTTTCTGTGCGCACACACCTAACCCGAAGCGTGCACATACAGCGCGCGAGTACTGAATTGAGCTCTCTTTCGTGAATGGACAAATACACACAACATTATGTCTAAATGTCCGTTTTGGAGAGTATTCATTTAAACTATGTCGGTTATGTCTTAAACAGTTGTTGTGAGTGTATCGGATGTGCATCAGTGCGATTGTATCCGCATATCATTGGACATGATCTGATCTGATAAAGTGACAGTGGCAATAAACCTAATGCGGTCTGTGTCCTTATTAATCAAGCAACAAAAGAGAAAAGCATTCACTGTTTGTTAATAGCTTTAATAAGGATTAATCATTAATTACATTTAATTCATACAAATAAATATGTCTGCTTGAAAGAATAAAGAATGATGTATGCAAGTAGTTATAAAGAATGCATATATTATTCATTGAAAAAAGACTGTGTTTTACTTTAGGAAAAGTGGTTTCATTTAATTTTAAGATATTTTTTAAGTCACAGTAGTTAAATCTGTAACTGTATTGCATGTTCAAACTTAAAAATCATTAATATTAATAGGTTAATAGATGTTTTCTCCGGGAGTATGGGTTTGGACATTTTAGAGAAATTCTAAATTAACACATTACAATTTAACTAAACCCATTATATTTTAGTCGACTAAATCTACTGTAGATTTAGTCGACTAAAACCTTATTGTATTTCGTCGACTAAAACTAGACTAAAACTAAAACAATTCAGATGACTAAAATATGACTAAAACTAAATGGCATTTTAGTCAAAAGACTATGACTAAAACTAAAGCAAAATTTGCCGTCAAAATTAACACTGCTTTCAACAAATATTATTGCATTCAAAAAGAAAATATTGCATAAACATATACTATAACATACAATATACTATATACACCTATAGTAAAACCTTTATAAAAGCATGCCTTACCAGATGAAATCAAAACCAAAGAAAGTCCAAGTCCTTTCAATAAAAAAAGAAATATCATTAATGAGTCATCTTATTCTATTGTTCAGTCCTCATGAACAATTTAATCTAAATTATGTGTGCTCTTACCTTTAGATGGCACAATGATGTGAGCTTGCAATATTGTGCTGTAACGTATCTCTTTATATAGAGGCACAATGAGTGTGACGTTGACCATCTGTATTTGGTCCGGGTCATTTGTGTGTGTAGCTCTTTTTGGGTGCCTGAAAAAATCTTTGTGTGAGTCACAGTAGTTTGGCATGTGGATATGGTAGTGCAACACGATCAGAAAGGATCTAAATCACAATGATGCTATTTTTGTCCCATATGTATATCTTCTTTTTTAAAGATATCAGATCTTTACTAAAGTGTTTTATACTGAAATGTACACCTCCACTTTCATATTTTATAGTTAGTTTCATAGGCCAAATTCACAACATGTCTGTTGTTTTTTTGGGGGTTTTTTTTATGTACGTAAAGCATTATAGAGGTAGAGACTCTTGTATATATAATGTACCCGAACCATAGTTGAATATTCACTCAATCCTTTTTAAATAAAATTGCTTAATGGGCAGTTAGATTCCAGCAATAATGCACAATGATGCTTTTCTTAAACTGTTCCATTTTCTGTCCTCAAAGAGAGACAGGCATGCACTGGGAATTTCACAGGTTTATCTTTGTGCTCAAGGATCAAGACAAGGTAACAATGCCTCACGAACAAGATGGCTGTCACGGAACAGTAAAATTGTCAGTAGACAGCTGGAACGGGAACAATGAATATCTGCACTTGCGACCTTTTGTTCTCGCCTAAGGCAGAGACAGCTGCAACTCTTGCTTGTTCTTGTTTGTTGCTATGACCTTTCATGATTTCCCAAAGCTGTATCCTTCATTTGTGTTTTACAAGTTAATTAGCAGTCATTTAAATGAACAACAGCTTCATTCATGTTCATCCATGTTCAAACCCATTCTTTCTTAAAAAATATTTTCCAGCTTTACAAAGATTTCCTAAACAATTGCAAGAATAGGATTCTGTAAGATACAAAATGTAATTTGTATGTTTATAGAAGTTAATATATTCTGAATACATTACAGCAGTTTTACTTTTTCTGTGCATCAGTTAACACGAAAATGCTTAGAATTATTCCTTTTTAACAGATAGAACATGGCAAGCAGGTCAAACTAATCGTCTTAGCCCCAGATCTGTTTCTAAACAGCTCTATAGTGTTGATTTGTTGTTGATCCGTGTGAGCCATCACTCAAGACCTTTTGTGAGGTTTCTGGCCTGCCTTGACCTCTCATCCCTCAGTTGTTCTGCACCCTCTCAACAAGCACCTTACTTAGTCTTAGCACTTGGGCAATCTATTCTAGCCCCCTCATCCTTTTACAGAGCCTCATTCTCAGCTGTCTATTTATCCTTGTTTATTAAAACTCATGAGCAAGAATGGAAGAAATGGGGGCAACCTTATGTCTAATAAAGTTTGTAATCGGAGCTTCCTTTTGTCACTGGGTGCACTAGAATGGTCTTGCTCTACTTCCTGTCTTCTGTTTCAGACCATGCAGCCATTTTTGCCACTAAAATTTTTATTTCAAAGCTGGAGTAGGTGTAATTCTAAAGCATTAAACAATGGCACATTGATTAAACGCAACAGTGGCAAGGAAACATATCTTCACAGAATGACCCAGCAGATATAATTTTTTTTATAGTTTCATTGAAATAAACAGTGGGGTTAAAAACAAGCTTATTATAGTTAACTATAACTAAAACCATAGACATTTTCATTACTTGAAATGAACAATAACTGAAATAAAAGTAAAAAAAAAAAAAAAAAAAAAAAACTTTTTCAGCTAGTTGACAGCCAAGGCAACATGTCTTATTTTAATTTAGTTTAACTTGATGTATTAACATAAAAACTTTGAAAACTTTAACTAATAGGTTTTCCACGCTTCTTGAAAGTATGTGAAAACAAACAGTATGTGGTGCTATTACAAAAAAAATTGGCCTTTATGGCCAAAGCCAGAACAAAACAGCTCTACTGATTAGGAAAAAAGTGGTGTGAGCGTATAGATAGTGAAATTGCATTTTCAGCACATCTGTCATTTTTGTTCAGAATAAAAGGGGCGGTCATTCCTTTGACTTCCATTTATACTCATGCAAATTGTCAGACCGCAAGCTCATGCAAAAAGGTTCGCGTTCCGCTGCGTTCCAAAGATCAAGTTTGGTGAACTCTGATCTGGGAATTTGCAATCATGTGAAGTGGTGTGACCAGTAGAAGATCGATACATCACAGCGTGACCTCTTATTAAAAGAAAGATATTTTTTAGTAAATTTGAGTAGATTGGATATCTTTTAATTTTTAATGTATGACTATTTTTTTATATGTAGAATTCATGTTTATAAAAATGATGCTGCAGAGCGTAACATTATATCACGACTGTTGCCTTGTCCAACGAAATTTTGCATGCTCAAAATCTAGCGTGACTGTGGATTAATGCGAAGCAGAGCATGTGAGCGGAGTGGAGCGGGAGCGAACGGGCGGATCTTGGACAGAGCACAGAGCGGCATTTTTAAAAGGACGGAGCGTGGCCCTATTTCCCGCTCCAATTTCGCTCCGCTCACACCACGAGTCTGACTCCACGTCTTTTCCCCGCCTGGCTAAAGAAGCATTGTGTTCAGCATCCCAAGCGGGTCTGCCAGCGCAGAGAGGGTTTTCTCCGCAACCACCGCATGAGTCTGAAGCCTCAGACATTGTCCAAACTTGTGTTCTTGAAGGTGAACTCAAAAGAACTGTAGATAAGGAAAGCAATTCATTTTCTTTCTTTTTTTTAAGTTTGACAACATAAGCCAATTTAAATTGTAATCCATGTGCACTCTGCGCAAAAGGTCAGTTATACGAATTTTGGCCTAATGGTGTTTATTAGGGTTGGGAACCGAGAACCGGTTCTTATGCAGAACCGGTAGTGTTTTTTCAAAAATACCGGAACCGTGCGAAATTTTCGAAGTTTCGGTTCCGAAAACGGTTCTGATGCGATGTGTGGACGAAGTGCTGGGAGCTTATCCTTTAATAGCGACGTCTCACCACATGAATATTAAAATTGTAATGAATGCACTGTCCCTCGCGCTATTCGTATAACAAGTTAAAAAAAAATTTGCGTCAGATATCAACCCAGAGAGAGAGAATAAAGACAGTAGAGCTGCACCATTAATCTTTAAACGATCTCGATTCAAACACCCACGCGATCTTATTCTTAAATGACAAAAACTTCACATCGGGACATTCAAATCTGTTTGCGCTGTCGCTGACCCAGAGAGAGCAGTTCTACATGAAACAGCTAGCTTTACTTTCAGTCTTTTCAACAACACAGTATCGATATTTCTGTGTAAAAAATATTCAAATGATCACAGAAGTACTGAGATAAAAGTTTATAGTTCGAGAATAAACACTGATGTCTACTGTAGCAACCAAAACAGTTAATCACCTTTTGAAAGTCGCTTCAAATAACGAAAATTCGCTTCAGAATTTACAAAATGTATATAATGAGCGATTACATCATGAATGCCTTTTTTCAA